AACCCAAAAAAATTACAAAAAATATAATATAATATAATATTTAATTATACCAATATTGTTTATTTAATTTTATAATATTTTATATTATTTTAACCATATATCGTATATATATACACCATATATATACCTATATATATATTATTTTACCCAAATTCATAAAATAAATATAAATATATTACTTTATATTTTTAGATTAGGTAAAAATAATAATAAATAATTCTTAGAATATATTTTCCAAAAAATATTATTCCAAGGAAAATTATATATATAGGGATATATATTGTATGGATACCAGAATAATTCCTGATTGTAAATTTATATCTGCCAATTCCACATATCGCAGATTTCATATCTGTATTCACCCTTTCAATTATAAATTTCCCATGTCCTGAGTCCTTCCCAGCACAAATACGCGCAAACAGCGTCGTTTTCCCATATAGGCAATATACAAACATGTGTATATATGGACATTAACATGTTCTCCTCTATCCACATGTGGTAGGATGTTCAGCTGTCGAGAACACTGAAGGGGATCTGCACACGGACACCAAGACACTTGTTACTTGTTACGATGATAGACTTCTTACAATCCTTGAACAATCTTGAACATATATCTGCGTCTCACATCTTCTCACCATTTAGGGTGGGGGGGGTCGGGGGGATGATGGTGATGATGATGATGATGATGATGGTGGTGGTGGTGATGATGATGATGGTGATGGTGATGCTTGTGCAATTTCAAAAACCTAACACCGCCCTTATCCGCTCTTGTGCCATAGTGGTCCTGCCTTGCTTTTTTGTGAGTGATTGGGTGGGGGTCACCCAGAAGGAAAAATCCCAACATTCAACAACCAGAGGGAGATAACAAAAAGAAACCAAATAAAACCAAAATACCTTTTTGCCGTCCCATCATCTTGAATATCATCATTTTTTATCGTCAGTTATTCTACTTGCTGCATTGGAACCTAGCTTGGCAAATGTGATCCAATACATTCCAATACCAAGGCTATCCAAGGTTTGTCAGTTTTCTCTCCAGGTTCAGATGAGTCCCCGACATGGTGAGTCAGTGGAGGTGTCAACGGCTTTATCAATGGGTAGTAGGTGCTGCCTGGATCGCTGCCCATGTCTTCCACATGGATCAACAGATCTACATCGTTCGCCTTTAGATCAATCCTTTGGTATGACTCTTAACAAGGAGCAGCATCGAACATCTTGTGCATGTCAGGTCACAAAATGGAAAGGAAAACGATCATCATGTTTGGCTCAAAGATTGCCACACCCAAGCACATACAATAACCATCACGTCAGTTTCAAACACGCCGGGCAAACGGTTTGAATAGAACTTGTGCGGACGCCTTGGCATTTCGGGCATTTTCTCAGCATCATGATGGCAAAAGATGGCAAAAGCATAGAGCCACACGCAGATCACAAACATCTAACTCCCGTGCTTTACGCAGCAAACTGAGGCAAATTGCGAGATAGGAATTGTCAGCTGCCTCCCATCACTTTCAGTGTGCTCTGCTGTCTCTTTGTCTAATTGTCGAACAACCTGGAAAAATTGCGCTTCCCTCTCCAGAAGCCAAAGTGGTTCCGGGGGTTGCTTCACTTTACATGGAATCACCTTAGCCAAATTGTTGGCGCATCTGGCTGAATTAGAATAATTCTGTAGCTCGACATAAGGTCATTTTGCCATGGTTCCCTCTACTAGCCATCGCAGTGACGTCGTGGTTAAATAGTTTGAAATTCACCCAGATAAATGAGCCTATTGCATCTCTTGCATGATTCTCCAAAGACCTTGTTGTGTCAAATTGCAGGGTATCCTCCAAATGAGGCGCATCACCTTTTCCCTCTGACTCTGCGTCAAATCTCACGCGCAAGAAAGCAACTTGGCTCAACGTCCTGAAAACAAAAACAACACGAAAAAAGCTGAAAGACCCTTGACTTGAAATTTCGGAAGAGATTCAAAAGTGCAAGGTTTGAAAGTCAAATGTGGAACTGTCACGGTCCGCTCACTGCTTCAAGCGTAAGATAGAAGTTGAACTAGGCTAGGAGCCATCCACGATCTGCTGCCAGGACACTTCCAGACAATGCCTTCGCAGCTTGCTTCCAATGGTCCGGCTCCTTGCCAAGGATCCAAAAACAGCATTCAGATGCATGCAGTGCATCAACGAGTTCTCACCGAGATCTCACCGAGATCTCACCTTCAAAAACCACATGTTGCAATGCAGCTCCTCTGTCAGGAAACTCACCGACACAGATGCCTCGAGGCAAGCACGCAAATTCCAGGATTTTTGTACATCGGACAAAATATGACAAAATCGTGGCTCAGCCGTCAAATCCTGGCGCCTTCCCACTTCGATTCGCCATCTTCTCTTCGGCTTCTCTGAGGACCTGAGATCTCCCAGCCCCCCCAGGTCACACGCGGTAACCTTCCAGCTGGACCTTGGTGGCTTTGCCAACCTCTTCTTCGGGCACAGCTTTGCCATCAACCTCAGAAGCAAACTAAAGGAGATGCGATGCGAATCGTAATTAGCAAAGCCCCAGGGCATTCACCCATCAAGCAATAAAATTCAACATGCCCAGCTGAAGTAGCCTCCAGTATTCGCCAGCCGATCTGTATGCCAGCGGGGATGGCGACGCCTTAAGCAAGACCGCGAGCGAGGTCGCTCACTGGCCATCCGGACGCATGCGAAAGTGTGGCACCACCACGAGTATAACAATATTCATGATGATCTTAATGAACATCGTGGGTAAAGCATTGTATACCTAATACATGATATGAATAGATGAATAGAATCAATAATATAATAGAAATAATAAGAAGAAGAACAATGACCCTTTGGCTGGGATCTAAGCAAAATGTGCGAACAGCTAGGATGATGTTTCTCATCTAGCGATATCTAGGGGCTTTCGGGGCATCCAAGGTGGGAAGGCCAAGCTTCCGCAGAATTTCTGGCTACACATGGGCGTTTTCATCCTTTTTCTGAGATAAATCAGAAGCACAACAAGTGCAGCATAGACAATTCTCACAGCGAGTCAAAGGATCTATTTAAGAGTCATGGAATCATGGACAAATCAACCCGGATAGAGTGCAGCAGTCAAATTAAATGGTATATAGAATGGTCCAGAAATTTATGTTTCAGGAAACAAATCATACTGTGAAATCAAAGGTAGAGCAGTGTCCTGTAGAGATAGAGGCTTAGAGGAGCAACTGCAGTCTTTTTCGCGACAGGTATAGTGCCCTGTTTCAGGTACAGTGCCACGATGTCATCAGCATGCCTTCATCCGCCAAGTCGACAACAAGGGCCCCGTCAAGCCTCATGGCCAGAGTTCCAAGACTTGGGGCAGAATGTTTATACCCTTGCAACTGCAAGAAACCTGTACACACAATATCAATCTTAATATCAATTGCAATAAATTATGGTATATTCCTGAAGTTCTTGACGCCTGCCAACTGTGATCCAAACATCATAAACATCCATGTGGCATTGGGCAGAAACATTGGCACCCAAGTGATCCAAGGGCCAAACTCAATGCCGAAGGGACGTGACCTTAGCCATGCTGAAGGATACATATATATATATATATATCAATCAACGTTCCAAACGTGCATGTGATCACAAGCACTACAACCGAACTGCATGCAGAGCACCTTTTCTCTCCCCAGCGACGTGGGTAGAACGGGGAGTTGATCAATCGCATGGTTCTGTCCGCTGGTCGATCCACCAGATGAAATGACAGACCCTGGATGAGATGCCTCTGGATCTGAGGCCTGCTGATATCACAGAAATTCAAGGGCCTGATGATCACAGGCGAAATTGATCAAATACATAAATCGAAAATAAAATCATCGCAAATCAAAAAGAATCCCCGCTCACATGACCAGATCATCACTTCACCCAAGCGCATCAAGAGCAGCCAAGATCCCGAGCTGCAGCGCCAGCGCAGTAGCGAGCACAGCGCGAAGATCCAGCGCAGAGCCACATCGCGCGTAGAGAATGCTGCATAGACCTCAAACGGAGGAAAGAGCTGGTCAGAGCATGGCAAGTAAACGAGTGGGTTGGCTCCCAACCCACCCCGGATAACCAGGGTGGGCTGGGTGGGAGATCAAATTGGCCAGTCTGGATCGATCTTGAGCCAAAATGGCATAAGGTTCGAGCGACCTCATGTCATCTTGGCAAAGGGTGAACACCCTTGATTCATCAGATCAAATAAAATAAATAAAGACTGCAACATGTTGAACAACATGTCAAGCAATGATCAATGCACATCACATCACTGAAATACAAGCAGCAACATGTTGAACAACATGTCATGCACAGATCAAAGTAGATCGCAATGCAGAGAAAAGGGAAGAACAGTTAGGTTGAAAGAACTAACGATTGACCCACTTATCCCAACCTACCAGACCGATGATAAGTGAACCAATCAACGTTCCAAACGTGCATGTGATCACAAGCACTACAACCGAACTGCATGCAGAGCACCTTTTCTCTCCCCAGCGACGTGGGTAGAACGGGGAGTTGATCAATCGCATGGTTCTGTCTGCTGGTCGATCCACCAGATGAAATGACAGACCCTGGATGAGATGCCTCTGGATCTGAGGCCTGTTGATATCACAAAAATTCAAGGGCCTGATGATCACAGGCGAAATTGATCAAATACATAAATCGAAAATAAAATCATCGCAAATCAAAAAGAATCCCCGCTCACATGACCAGATCATCACTTCACCCACGCTGTCACAAACTAGGAAAAATTGGATCGACCGTCTTCCAACCGAATCTCGCGCCTACCTGCATCCGATCTCTGGATGGGTGATCGGCCGGGTTGGCATCTGTCGGAACTCGGTCTATATACAACTGAACCTTGAGCTCCAAAGCTATGCTCCAGAATACGCTTACCAGCTCGCACAAATCTTCACGGGCTGAGTATCCTTTCACTAGAGCTCCCTGTACGGGTTCAGAGTCAACTAACAACAAAGACCAGGATCCTGCCAGCCTCTCAGAAAACGTGCGCAGAGCGACCACCGTAGCAAAGAGCTCCACCATCGCGATCTGCGACTTCCTCGGAATCCACTTCTCAATGAGGGAGAACTCGACAGCCGCTCCAAACTGCAATGGCTGAGCACCTTTCTGAAAAAGAACGCCCCCGATCCACGGTAAAGTGGGGGATCCCTTAGAACCATCTGGGAAGCTGCCGTCAGTGAAGATCACAAAGTCCGGCGTTCTTGGCTTGGCGAACTCAATGGGCCGTGGTGGTCCTTCCTTGATCAACCACAACCATTGCTGCAGCGAGATCACCAGCGCCTTGTTGAGCTTGGTGTGGTTCATCTTGGAGTATTGGCGTTCAGAAAGCGAACGCAGGAAAGCTCTCCCAATCTTCCCCCAGAGCTGTGACGCGCCAAACATGAGCTTGCCGCGAAGTTTCCCTGCCTGACCCGGCGGAAAGACCTGGCATTCCAAGATGGAAGAGATCTCTTCTTCCAGTTCCAACTTCCGCGACGGCTTGATCTTCAGCAACATATCGTTGAGGTCGTAGGTGACACCGAGGATCGTGGGGTCGCGACACTGCTGCAACTTCTTCGGGTCGAACTGCGCCCCCAACCAAAGATGAACTTTTTGAGCGACCTCAAACGCAGAAGAGCAAGTGGCTGACGGTTCGAAACCGTACTTGTCATCATAGAAATTGAAAGCTGCCACCAAAAAGATTCTTCTCAGAACGTCCGTGATGGCGGCTGATCTTCGATTGTAGTTATAGACTGCCGACACCAGACCGAAGGAGTGACCGATCATGACGAAGAAGGAGACCTTACCAGTGGAAGGCTCACGGAGCGATATCACACTCCACCTTCTGTGATCCGGCTTGACACCGATCTGGCGGTAAGCCTTTCGTTCATCCAGGACCCAACCTTCGATCTTCTCGTCCTTGTCGACATGAGAACGCAACCAACGAAGAGCAGCCACGTTGACATCTGTTGATGGAAGCTCGATCTTCTCTGTGATCGTAGTGGCCATGTTGACGCCATTGACCGTGGCGCTGTCCACACCACGAACTTTATTCTTTTGAACCACTTCAAATCTCTGTGTGGGGATCCATTGCTCAGTGCCCAAAAATGCACTGACCTCATCCCTGGAGAACATCGGGCCGACTGTGACCCCTTCCTCAACGTCTTCCATAGTGGCTGCCCAGATCTTTTCGGTGTTCTCCGTGACCTCACATTTCTTGACATTGCGGACTACCTTGTTGAAAAATTCCCAGGCCCTGTCCGACAACTCATGGACGGAGATCCCGTCGTCATGAACAGGAAGAGCAGGCCACCTGTGACTGCGCTGAATGGCACCCACGATCGAAAAACCGTGGAGCAATGCCGCCGGCAGCTGCGTGTCGATGCAGCGAGCGGCAGTCAGCATTTCTTGCCAGAGCGCCACATGGGTGCATTGGCCCAAAACTAAGGGCTGCCCGTCAGGTTGACCGCGAAGAAGGCGCCGCAGGTGAGGATCACTGACCTGTCGCAACCACTGATCAGTGACGGGGAGCAGCTCGTGAGCTCGAGCTTCCCAAAACCGGAGAGCTCCTGCACGATGCCCAAGCACGAACTGTGGCTGCGATGACACCAAATTGAGAACTTCTTGAAGGTCGGGGTCAAGGGCAGGATCCATTGTGAACGGGTGAATCACGTGCAGAGCCGCCTGCACTGCTCGACCCGGTTCCATCTCGGTGGCTAAGATCGGCGGCAATGCCGATCGCTTCAGTTGGTAGCCCGCCGAGTTGGCTTTTTCAGCTGTGATCCTTTGCTTGTGAATCTTCCATGGAACTTCTTGGCCCACCGGGCGTTTGCGCTCAGCAGCAGGGGTGACCATCTGGAATGTAGCCGCCAAAGGATCCATGCCTGTTGCGGCGATCGCCTGTGCCCAAGTGCTGCACAGAGCGGATGGGTATACCTGCGCTAAACGCGTCTTGAAGACCTTCTGGCCCTCGTAGAGCACTGTGCCGACCAGTGGCTCATGAGAATGTGGCCGCTCAGCTTGATCACAAAGCAGAGCCAGTTCCCGTAGGTCGACGTTGGAGAGCACCGCTGTCGGCTTCTTGTGGGGGGAGGCAAACCGGCACATGTCGAGCCTGAACATCTTGGCCGTGGGCAGAGCCGCCAACTCGACCATAGGTGGCATTTCCCAAAGAAAGGAGCTGGCAGGGTTCTCAACCGACCAGCCGAGACCACTTGCGTGGAGCAATCGCACCCACCGCACAGTGAGGTGCATGAACTCATGGCCCAACTGCAGTTTGGCCTGGTCGCGTGGAGCAAGACCAGGGAGCCCCCACAAATGCATGCGATTGCGTAGGGGCGGTGGACCCCCATCAGCCTTCCGAGCAATGCTGAAGGAAGAGCAAAGTGTGCCAAAATGAATAAAAACGATCACCTTGGCCCTAATCAGCTTGATAACGTGCTGCTGAACTTGTGGCTCCAAAATGTCCACAGAGATTTGTACGAACTGGTTCGTGTTGATCTCAATGGGTCGCAAGATCTGCATGCCGCGCGCGCTGATTGCTTGCGAGAGCCCGGCTTCACCAGCAAAAACTTCCAAAAATGCAGGCCCGATCGGCACTACCATTGAGCCCCAAAACGGCCGAGAGAGGACTGTCCGAGCGGCAAGCTCTTCATTCGCCCCCCCCTCCGTTTGGGGCGTCTTGGAGCAAGTCTGGCTTCAATGATTGCCCACCATCGGGTGAGCAGCACCGCAGACCATGCAATGGTGTTTGAACCGGCATTTCTCTGCCAGAGCGCAGCCCATTGAAGAGTTGAAATAATGGCACCGCTTGGGCCCTGAGACCGAGGAGGCTGCCTGAGAGATGAGCTTCCATTCGGACTCGGGGATCCGCTTGTCTTTGTCGATCTTGGAGTCCTTTTTCTTATCGAACTGATCTTTCTTCACCTGCTTGATGTCTTTGGTGTCGACCGCACCACCCTTCTTGTTGCGCCGCTTGCGCTGGCGGCGGCTTGGGGTGGAAGGCTTGTCCTGGCTCTCCACCACACGATCTTGGGGATCATGTGGTTCAGGTTTCTTGTGATCAACCTTCGCCAGGACTGCCTTTGTGCGAGCATCGTTCCAAAGGTACTTGTGGTTGTTGAGGACCTCCAAGAGCGCGGCTTCAAAAGTGCTGTAGAGCTCGCGTTGTTCAGCCTGGAGCCGGTGCACTTTCTTGCGGACCAGCGAGTCGGCTGCCAGGAGATAAGGAAGACCTGGGCACTCTGCTTTGAACTGCTCGAGCTCCTGCATGTATTTCAAAGGCCCTGCAGCACGTGAATACGTGCAAATGTTCAAAAACTCCAGAGCTATAAACAGCGCATGAACTCGATGTAGCAGGGTCTGCACGTCTGTCACCTGATCAGGTTCTTCGGCTTTGGATATCGTCAAGAGATCCTCAGCGTTCTTTGACAGACCTGACTTCTGAACAATGCTATCTGCCCTGGTGCGGATCTCTGCCACGGCATAAAATGGAACCATGCCGTGAACAAGGAAATCTCTGCTGAGCTTCTCAACGAACTTCTTGTGCGGCTCCTTGGCATCCAGGAGGATCACGTCGGGGTGAGCCGTCACGAACCTGGAGCGGAATTCCGCGTGGTCTTCTTGGGCCATCTCGGGAACCTTGTTCGGGTCCTCCATTTGAGCTCTTCTCGTGGCGAACTGGCCTTGCAGCGCATGACATGAATGCCCCACGGCTGCCAGCTGCATCAGCGATAGCTCCTGTGCAGCGGCGTTCGCCCCAAGAGCATCAGTTGGAAGCAATGTCTGGAGAGACGTTTTCACAGGACCTGCCGCATCGCCGAGCATGGCGAAAACTTCAACGGATAAGAGCCCGGCGTCCGCCGATGCCCTGCACAAATCTGAGCTCAGCCCCAGCCTGCCAAAGATCTGGCGAAGGGCGATCTTCGGTGTGTGCGCCTCATCGGCATACACCGTGCGATCGACCATGCTGGCGAAAGGAAAAAGACCTACGGAAAACTCTTGAGCCCGCAAAACTTAAATCCAAATACTATCACTGGGCGCGGCCTGATCAAGCCGTCAACATAAGAACAATCGGAAACCCATTGTCGCCCGTGATTTCACCGCGTTTTTCCTGGCTATATGTCAGCACAATTTTGCTTTTGATTTGCACAACTGGCAGATCATGCCAGGCGCATGCGGACCCACTGAAACAGCATCTGACATCTTCAGTCGGCTGCAAATCGATGCACTAGAGGAAAAACTAGGATCAAAAATATGGCATCTAAAATCCGCAGAATCAAAAGAGCTGGCTGACAGGGATGCTTTGACTATGAACTCTCTCACAACAGGTCCTTGAACCTCCTCGTCCTCCTCTTCGATCACGAACTGTTTGGAATCAGGAACCCAGTCTTCGCGGAGCTTCGAGGCCATGTCTTTAACCATCGCCACTGAGAGCTCCTTGCGGCTTCTGGCATACTTGAGCACCAGCTGCTTGGGGTCTTTCCAATTGGCTTGCAAGCCCACGATCTTGTCGTCGACCTGAGCTTTGACGGCCTCTGAGAGCATGGTCACCCTCATCGAGTGCCATGTGATCTCTTGCACCGCCTTTTCAGCCGTCTCCAGTTCGTTGAGCTGAACGAGGTTCAACACCTTCGCCTCCATGAGACCCAGCAAAAAGAAACTTTTCAGCCAGGATAGACTACGAGAGTAGGTGATGGGGGCCTCAGTGAACTCCTTCTCATTCTTGAGCTCCCATATAAAATAATCCCTGTCAGAAATCATCGGTTGAAAAAGATCCCAACCGATCTTCAGCCACTCAATTCCGGAGAGGGAGCAATTCGGCACAGCGAACCGTGTGCCTCTCCTCTTCCGCTCAACCTTGGTTTGCCAAACCACGCCGAGCAGGGCATCACCTGACATTACCAGGGACGATGGAGCAACGTGTACGCCATCATCGAACCTGAGGGATGCATAGATCAAAATGAGGGCCCACCATGCCGTGATCGCGGCGGCGGTCTTGCCCTGGTTCACGAGCCGGGGGACCAAAGCTTCCAGAGCCAGCACCAACTGCGGCGGCAGTGGAACGGCCTCTTTGAGCTCCTTGCCCTTCTCAAGGTGCACCTGGTCGATCACAGCCTTGAGGCGCGCTTCGCCCAGATCGGGGCAAAACATCGCCAGGCGCTTGCAGATCCAGCCCACCGCATATTTGAACGATGGGAGCACTGCCGGCCCGCAACCCTGATCCTTCAAATGCAGAGCGCAGCGCATCACTGCGACGATCGTGGGCGGGTAAACCCGAAGACCGTGAGAAGTCGCCCACTCGTCGAACTTCTCCCAATGCCTCACGTTCTGCCTGATCGTTCTGAAGCCGCCTGCTTCAAAAGCTAACTGCTTGGGACGATCTGCCTCAGCCGGTGCCAGACCAATGCAACGTGAGGGATCATTCACGCCTGCGCTGGCCCCAGCGCGCTCACAGATCTGTTTGAGCCGCAGGCCCCACCTCTTCCGCTCCAAATTCTCGGAGTCCTGGATAGATGGGATGACTTCCGTAGAGCCAGCACCTCCTGGCTTCTTACCGACCTGCAAAGGCACGGGAGCCCGGTGCACCACGTGGTCCAGCGAGCGCTTGCCACCAGTCCGCGGCGGCTCAGCTGACCCGTAGCCAAGATCAGTGGCTATCTCCTCCTGCACCCGCTTAGCTGAGCGGGACACCATGTCTGCCAGCAGGTTGACCATGTCCAGCCGCAGCAGAGCCGCGTTGATCACCTGGTCATCGGCGGTCAGAGCCGGTAAGAAAGATGAGAACTTTTCATCGGGAGATGCAGCATCATCATCTGACATGGCGAGCCAAAACTCAACTCGATCGAGTCCCACTTCTTTGAGGACTGATCGAAAAGTGTCATCAAAAATCGGGAGACACAAAAACCTATGAATAGATCAATCCATGGTGAGCTAGGCCTAGCGCAAAACCCTCAATGCCACTTGATCCAAGAGCTGAGGTCCCGTTGCGATCTCCCAGGCAACAGCGCGCAGATCTGAGGATCTCGCCTGCAGAGCCGGCGACAGGGCAATGATCAACCCCGTCGGACCCGCAGGATGGCCGGGATCTGGCCCCGTGTGAGTAGATCACTCAAACACGCCAAATCGAATAAATAATCAATGATCACTATCCCTCATCCAAAATCCATCCATCAATCGATCACATCGAACTAATGTATCAAATTTTATCACATTGAATCAGATCCAAATCATCAAGTAAAATCCAGATCAAATCAAATCAAATCAAATCAAATCAAATCAGTTCACATCAAATCAAATAAATCACGAGCATTTACGGATATAATATCACGAGATCAACTATCTTATACCAGGATAATAATGGGGGGAACCAAGCAGAGGGGAAACAACGACCCAGGGGTGATCAACCCTGTCATGTTGCTTCACATCACCCTCGCTCCCCAACTACCGGGTATGATCAACCCGTGAAAGATCGAGCACTGGGAAAAAGACGGCTGAGCGGCGGGACATGATCAGTACCCGGTCGCCGATTTCTCTTTTCACTTCCCGCATCGGAAAAGTCGCAATGCTCCAAGTGGGAAAAGATCTGTCACAAAAACCACCTGCATATTGCAAGTTAAAAATCGATCGACAGCAAAAGATCAGCGGCTGTCGAACACAACTCTCACCTCTTCTGTAGACCTCCACAAGAGCGATGAGCGCCTAGACGTCAGATGGCTTCTCAGGAGCTGATCCCGGCGTCGCTGGCTTCAATGCCGCCGGTGTAGAGCTTGGAGTGGTGTTCTGAACCGTCTCAGCCGGCGCTGTGAACACGGGCGCGGGGGTGCTGTCAGGCACCCTCGACGGATGAACCGCCGCCCCCTTGGGTTCAGGCTCCACCTCCTCGATCGTGGCCGCGGAAGTGTTGTACACACGATTGGCCATCGTCTCTGCGAAGATCTGAGGTGTGAGCAAGGATGTGGACCTTGCAAACCTTCGATCCATCCTGGCACGATCACGATCATCGTTGACAGCATGGCCTCCTTCTCCTTGGTTGGTATGTCGAACCTGGAGCGATCGCTCGTCGAGCTCAAGCCCCATCTGCTTGTTCACGGAGACCAAAGTGCCCTCACCATGTGAACTGCTTGGAACGTCCGTCATCTCAGCCTGACCAGATAGCCATGCGCCCGCTGTCAGAGCTGGAGGCCCTGATGGAGCTGGTGTTGATGTGGCATGCTGCATTTCTGCGAGAGCTGCGCTGGGGACGATCTCAGACTCCCTCTCCAACAGCTTCGACCTGGATTGAAGTGGAAATTGCCCTGATCCAGGTCCTCCGCAAAGATGACCAAGCTGCCGACCTGGCAACGGAGCTTGACCACCAGCCTTCATGGATGGCTGCCAGCTGAGCGAACTGCTCTGTCTGTTCCGGACCTTCTACTCTGGCTCTGTTCTCACGGACCGAAGTGATGGTCCTGATCAGAGTGGGCCCTGAAATGTGTGACACCGTGAGCCACGTGCCAGGCACAGAAGTTCTCGAGCACTTCAAGTCGATGCGATTGTTGGCATCCCGGTAGCGGAACTCGAGGCGATCTGCATCGTTGCCCACTGCATCACTGGAGGATCTGTTGCACACTCGGAGCTCAAACCTCGAGCGAGCTGAATCACCAGCAACGACCGCTCCTCCAGGACCAACTGAGTAAGTTCGCCCTCCACACTCAAAGCTTAGGATGGAGACCCTCCATCCAATGAAGACGGCGATCACCACGGAGAGCCGGGTCTTGCCCTGATTGGCTTCTCGGACAAAGAGCTCGTCCACGAACTGCTGCTGCACAGTCAAGTCGGTGTCGGAGCGATAGCCCCTGAGAATCCAATGGAACAAAATTTCATTGCCGTTGTAGACCTTCACATCAGCGTAAGATGCCGACGTGTCTCTCAACATGGGCCATGAAAAAGGCTGGAAGGCCGGGTGTGAAAGTGCACGAGCTGTGCTCTCGTCCCACCCAGCGCAAGGATTGCCAGTGTTGCTCTCGATCGAGATGGCGATCACCACCTTGATACCATCCAAGGTGTAGTTGCCGAAGAGAGCCACATGGAACCCCGAGTTGGGTGGCATGACCTGATCACGCTCGGTCATGACGTTGATTGAGCTGGCCGCATTGCTCATGATCTCGGAGACCAACCACGACTGGAACGGCGACACAATGCGATCGTCCCTTTTATCCACCACGATGATGGATTGATCTTCAGCATGGGTTGCGTCTGTGATGGCCTCCAAGAACCTAGGCATCTGAACTTCATAAGGGTTGTGTGCATTCGACCCTGCCCCATAGCCACCAGAACTATAGGCTGGAGTCCAACCACGACCTCCTTGTCCACCTTGACCTCTGCGGCCTTGATCGTAGCCTCGCTGCGAGTTGCGGGACATGGCACGAACAGGTGGATGAGATCGAGGAGCTAGGGGGAACTGCCCAGGCCCGAGATCAAATTGGCCAGTCTGGATCGATCTTGAGCCAAAATGGCATAAGGTTCGAGCGACCTCATGTCATCTTGGCAAAGGGTGAACACCCTTGATTCATCAGATCAAATAAAATAAATAAAGACTGCAACATGTTGAACAACATGTCAAGCAATGATCAATGCACATCACATCACTGAAATACAAGCAGCAACATGTTGAACAACATGTCATGCACAGATCAAAGTAGATCGCAATGCAGAGAAAAGGGAAGAACAGTTAGGTTGAAAGAACTAACGATTGACCCACTTATCCCAACCTACCAGACCGATGATAAGTGAACATATGGGATACATATGGAACATATAAATACATATATCATATAATCCATATAATCCTCTATATATGGGATATCATATATATATATGATATATATATATATATATATACATACACACACCCTCTTTGATTTTCATCATCTTCTTGCTGATACATTGTGTTTGGAGAGGTTTTGAAACCATGCGAAGTTGATAAAGCCTTTGGTCATGCTCACATACATGTGGAAACTTTCCAACAAGGCCAATCTCAGCCTCCAGCTTGTCCTTGAAGGCACTTGCAGAACATAACATGACCTGACATTCTTTTTGAATGAACATAAGAATCCTTCGAAACAATCGATTCTTTACAACACATATAAATTATGTTGTATACTACCACCCTGAAACAGCGGCCTCCCGGACCGCCGCTGGGCCGGCCATGCCTTGCGATCTTGCGGAATCCCGGAAGGGACCAGCATGCGACGGCAACACATGACATGGCTGTGTCTGAGAAGAGGGTAGCCCCAAATCCAATGGTTTTTATTGGTTGATCATCAATTTCCCCATAACAGTCATTATAATGTATATATATATGTGTAATTATAATTATATATACACATGAAATTGCCTTTTTTGTGGTATGCCCCATTTTGAGACCTGAAGAAAAACTGCAAGCTCTTACAGGAGCGCACTGGCGTGACGTTTGTGTTCTTTTTTTTCTTTCTTCTGTTTCTTGTCCTTCTGCTCCAGAGCCTGGCTCAGGTCGTTCTGGCAATGAAAGAGTCTTAATCGCCAAATATCACCAGCCAGTCTCCTGGGCATGAATTTCTTTGGCTGGCAACCTATCTTCATCATGCGTTCCAAAACACACTGAAAATTGATGTCATTTCGGTTCAAGGCGTCGCCTTGTTGGTTTCAATGTCATTTCCCCATGATCAATCCATGAACTACCACTTCAGAATATTCAGCTATTCTTTAGAACAAAACTTAAAAATGGGGATGTCATCAACAATCATCAAGCACTGGCAGCACGACATGCCTCCGGGGGGAAAGCCTGTGGCCCAATTTTCCGCGGCGGCTCTGGAGCCGGAGCAAACTTGATCTGCACCTCTAAAGCGGGGGGAAACCAATGGGGAACCCATCATTCTATGGGAATATAACAGGATATAAGTGGATACAATTGGGGAAAAGATCATGATATAGATATATATATATATAATATAATATATATATATAATATATAATATATATATATATTGTCTGGGCCGGCGGCAGGCAACCCCCCCGAAATTTTCCCCGCCCCCCCCAATGCTATCCCCCCAAGCAACCACCCCCATGGGGGTGGCCTAGCCATCTACGACCATCCATCAGGATCTCATATGCTATACTTACAGGTTGACCTCGTGCCACCTATATATATATATATATACACTACATAACAGGATACCTCCATGCAGTGTTCACTACTGCCTATATGCCCCTGCAATCGATTTAACAATGTATTCCTGCCCATAAAGTACCTCTATAGACTCTATAGTAGGCAGATACTAGCTACTATCAAGATCTCATGGGCTATACATACGTGCTGGCCACGTACTACATGTACACTATCTACATGATACCTCTATAACACCCCACCCATCCCACAGGGGGCCGTGGGCGTAAGCTACACCCTGCATCACGCTTTACAACGTATTACCGCCAATAAAGAACCTTTATAGTAGCCATATACTAGCTACCGTCAAGATCTCACATGCTATACGTACATACGTTCAAGTGCTACCTGTACGCTATGTACATGGTACCTCTATAACACCTACCCATCCCATAGGGAGGGCGTGGAGCATTGTAGCCACATACTACCTATATACATTTTGCCTTACATGCTTACTAGTGACACACTACCTAGCCCCCACCCATCCCACACGGGGGTGGCGTGTGTCAACTATATCTTACATAGAGCCTCCTACATACAGCACATACAGGACCATGACCATGACGGGGGGGGTGGGGGGAGTTGCTGGCCTGGACCACATATGTATATATAACTAGCAAGGTGATGTGGGTCCCCAATACTAGGAGATATCCCAATTTGTGGCCATTTTAATGTATCTCAATAGGATTGAATGGGGAACATTATGGGATTTTGAGGTGTTCCAAACGCCTAGACATTCTAAAACCAACTGCAGCATTCCCTGAATTATGGCTTGACAAGTGCCTCAGTCTCCCTGTGCCATAGACTGCGAGCACAGAAGGTTGCAAACAACGGCCTCATGCTCTTTGCCTTCCTTTTGCTCTTTCTTCTCCTTTTTTTCCTGCTCTAAACATTCATTGAAGGATTGAAGGACTTGAACAGTGTCGCAAAACACGTGAATGAGACCAGTGTCCTTCTTTTCTTCTTTGTTTTTTTCTTTCTCTTTTTCCTTGAACAAGAAGGTAGCCATGGAGTGATTGCTTAGCAACGAAGGTTTGAACTGGGCTACTGCAGCCTTCTTCTCCTTTTTCTCTTTGTCTTTCTTCTTTTCGCCTTTTTCCTTTGCAGATTTTGCAGCTTACAGGATCAGGGCAGAAAGCAACTCACTTGCACACACTCGCAACAAGTCGGCGGAAACTGCAATGTAAATGTGTGTACACATATATATATATACACACACACACATTTAATCAATTCAGCGACCTGAGTCGGTCTGAAAGGAAAACACACACACACACACACTTTTGGGGTGTTGGGCGCTTTGAAAACTGATCCGATGGTGCACTAAGGGGACAGCCTTCTCGTGTTTCTTTTCCTTGTGTTTCTTCTCAGCTGAATCCTGCTGGTCGTCAAACATACCATTTGATGTTCGAGATGCATGTCATTTCCAGTGGCATTGTCACCCTTCATTCACAGAATCTTTGAGCACTGTGTTGGTCTTTGGTGAAAGGTCCTCGGTTTTTTGTTTCTTCTCCTTTTTCTTCTTTGCAGGCACTGGATCTTCCTGAATGTCATCAATACCCAAAGAAAGACAAGCACATGCCGAGGACAGCTTCACAAGAGTTGTGACCTCGCTGGAATCGCTTTCCTTTCTCTTCTTGCCCATGGCTGCTAAAGTATATAATTGCTCAGTATCGAAGTATTGCTGTTGAATGACAGTGTCTTTCACCTTTTTTGTAACTCCTTTTATACACATACATACATACACACACACATCCTCCCATGTCATACCTAGTATGATTCCATGAGTATTGGATTTCTAGGTCCGGATTTGTCCCGATTTCTTTGCGTCAAACACACTTGCATGATCTTGCATGTATCTCTGTGTGTGTGTGTGTTTCAGAAAGTACAAAGCTGCATTCTGCACTTTGTAGATCTATGTCTATGTACGCGTTTGAAAATATGCAGAATATATACTGTATATGTATAATATATGTGGGTGTCTTCATTTTTTCTGTGGCATATTATGCACTATACGTACTATCTATATGTAATATTATGTAATTATATATATATACTATACAATATCTATATTAATATTGATTAATATATTGAAATTGAGGCTGCTCCTTGTGCTTTTCCATGACCTCATTAATGTTGGCATATCTGGACCAACTCTTGTCCATTCACCAGTGGCAGCACAGTTCCTCCCATTGCATACAGCTTTCTTCGACCCTTGAGCCACAGAGCGGCGTTTCTTCAAACTATTGGCAGTTACACTTAATTTGAGGTTTCCTAAATTGGGGGTACCCACAAATCATCCAGTTCAACAAAAAAACCAATATAAACGATCCATTTTGGGATGTCTCCCATTTATGGAACCCCCCAATTAGTGACAATCTTCTGCTGCCCTTGAAGGACACTCAATGGCACTCAGTATTCAGAATTAACACCTGGACAGCCACTGCACCTGACCACGCCGGTGTTGTGTACCAGCCTCGGCTGACAACAGGGTCCGACAGGGATTGCTTGACATGTGAAGACATGTCCCTACTTTTCCAACACACCGTGTGTCGTCATGTCATGTGCAAACAGGGAGCGTCTCTTCCACTTCTTGCTTCGCTTTTGGGCCTCCGCCCCAAATCAAAGAGTACCTTGCGGAAACTGGCAGGCACAATAAGCTCACCAAATCCATGAAGCACCTTGAGACACGCCAAAATCTTAGTAGTGGTAGTAGTGGTAGTAGTGGCAGTAGTGGTAGTAGTGGTAGTAGCACTGATCTTGGGGCAAAAATCCTAATCCTGTGGGAAGATGGGGTTGGGGCACCACCGCCCGTAGAAGATGTGACCTCAGCACGTGTCCCTCCCAGACATGTCTTGCTACTCGGACTGCAGCCGTCAAACCACTCCAAGTCCAAGGCCTACTTCTTTTTTCCAAAGGGGTTTGGCAGTGTGCCGCCAGCCCAAATCTAAGATCCTGTAAAAACCCCATTGATCTCCATGGTTTCGAAGTTGCAGCTGTCGCACGAAGAAACCATCGGTGCTCATGTTGGTGACTGCTGGCAACTCTCATCAAATTACTGGAGATCTTCAGACTTAAAACATCTTTAGGCATCTGAAATATGAATAGAATGAACATGAATGAACTATGATGAACTGTTCAATGCCAATGTCCACGCTTACGACCCCCTGTCATTTTCAATGTGAAAATCCCCGGTGTCCTGAAGAGAGCACCGTCGCGCTCAACGATGACTCTGGCCGTCTCCCTGCGGTTACCCCTTGTGCCACTCCTCAAGGCCCTATCCACCCTATCTTCCTGTCACATGGATCACATATACGAAATTGAGCCGTGACGTGGCCAAGGTTGCCATTTGAGACACACCCCTTGATTTTATTTGTTTTATTTGTATTGAATTGTATTGATTTGTATTGATACTTTGAAACATCCTCCAGTGCCCGCTGGCCTCATCAATAGTTTCGTCTCATTGGGTGGAAACTTTGCATGAATCTGGGAACGAGTCACTCTCAATGTCTCAAGATCATTCAAAGCATCTGACTGGACTTCAAAGTGAAGACGTCTGTCTTTCTGTTTCTGGTGAGTGCACCGCGACAAATCGAAGACTGCTCAGAAGATCTCAAAAGTATCAATCATCAAAACCATTTAAAACCATTTAAAACCATTTAAAACCATTTAAAACCATTTAAAACCATTTAAAACCATTTAAAACCAAGCAAACTGATCCAGAGGCCAGCGCCAATATGAGTGTTTCATAGAACACCATGGCTCTAGAAAAATCGCCTTGAGGCGGGTATTACACGTCGCTTGGTCTTTGATTTTCTTTCATGGTCAAAGGTGCATTTCTCCGTCACATGGGGATGTGTCAAAACCTTGTACCCCTGGTGAACCCCAAAATAGCTGGTAAATGGATGTTCATCCCACTAAAAATGTATCTATAGGTATTGACCCATACCCACATTGAAATCATTGAAACATATTGAAACTGCTCATGGTCTCTTCCCGTCTGAAGGAAACATTTATACATTTCGTGCATTAAAAGGTCAAAAAATGTCAGAAACCTCTGGGGCCTGATCCAGAATTCCTGCATCAATGACCATTCAATGACTCTTCAATGACCATCAGTGTATGAACACTAAGTAGACCTGACATCAAAATGCCTTAGAACTCACAACGTGGATCAACTTGACATGTAACTCTTGCGAATGCTGGTGCAGTTGGAGCTGCCTTTTCTGCTTCAACTTTGGCCATGTGGAGCTGTTCGAGCTCCGTCTGGCAGACCTCTTATCCGACGTGCATAGGCACAGAAGGGCTTTAAGTTTACAGCCTAATTCGGCATTGGAATTTGTTCCGAAAGCCGGTGCTACGAGTTTCCGGTCTGTTGTACTTGCCATTGCCAGTGTCTGATCATCTAAACAAAAATGTACTCAGTGATGAATGAATTGCATTCTCTTACCCATGACATCCCATCACCGATTTGCTTACCTTTTTTTTGCTCAGAGAAAGCGAGGCAGAAATACAAGAGCCGGAGCAAACATGAGAAATAGAAATGCGTAAAATTAACAAATTCAGCGGCCTTTTGACCAGCGGTTCTGCGACTGAGGCTTGATCATCTCGAACAAACTTCACACACGACTGCAGTGTTTCTCAAACAAAACAAAGAACATGAATCAGGCTGGCAGGGTCACTCTTTACTTCTTTCATCTTCTTGCCAAATGTATCCAGAAGATCAAACCTACCCATGCATTTGGAGTCAGGAATTGCACAACCATGACATCTTCCAACTTCGAATTCAAACTGCATAGAAGCTGTTCAACGACCTCTCACTCATTGCAGCCTCGGGAGAGCGGTGACAACTTCAAATTCCAGTCACTGGCAGTTGCCCAATGTCAGGGAATATCTTGGAACTGCTAAGCGCTGGACCCAGTCAGGAGGGCGATCTGAGTCCTTCAACGATCAAGGTGGCCGAGCGATTTCCCATCCACGTAAGGCATTAATGAATATGAATGAGCAATCACCAAGTAGCAGATAGTAACAGAAAAACAATTTTTGCTATATCTTGCTATCTTAGCGTGTAAACAACTGAGATCTGAACACTCTCAGGAGGCGGCACGATCATCTGGCACGGGGATTCCAGGGATTCCAAATGTTGAGGACCAGGGACAGTCTCTCGGATGTCTCTTGGAACTCCCAGCCTCTGACGTTGAAGGCGATGGCCAAGGGACCACCGGCAAAGGACTGGAGGCACGAACTGCCTTCCACGACTCTCACAAATTCTGGCATGTTGGAGGGAAAACCATTGTGCTGCTCTGCCAAACTTCAATAGATCAATGAACTTCAAATAGCATGATTCACGTGTCAAAATACATCAGAGATGTGTCAAATAGTGTCAAACCTTTACCAGTAGTGCCGCACAAAGCGGTGGCGGAAGTTTCAAGGATAGGACGCTATAGGAGAGGTGAGTTGTTGTGATGCATGGATGGCAGAGCGAATCCAGTGATGGACCAAAAGGATCCGAAAGGTGGTTGGAGTTGTGCTTTTTGAAGTGGTTGCAATGGTTGCAGTGGTCACCTCACCACAACTGCTGGATGTAGTGTGGTGTAGCGCAGTTGCAGTTGCAATTGCAGTTGCAGTTGCAGTTGTAGTTGCAGTTGCAGTTGCAGATGTAGTTGTAGCGTAGCGCAGTGGAGTTGTAGTTGTAATGTAGTGCAATTAGTGTAGTGTAGTTTCTTCCCAGCTCTGATTTTCCATCTGTCCATATTATCGGAAGTTTGACTTCTAAACTTCCTTCGATCTGTAAATCTTTACACTAGTATTGATATAACTTGGTTATCGGTTATTATATTCAAGTCATAGGATTATCAATATGATTTAACATGTTAATTAGGTTTTATCTACGGGATATACCCAAATAATATACACAAAAAAAATGAAATCGATGGTCCCAGAACTGGGGCTTCAATTTTGACCCCATCCCCTTATCAGGCCTGTGGTGTTGCGTCTGGAGATGGTCCCCACAAGGGGGCCCATGCCTTCGAGACGGCAATGGCCATTCGAAAATGCACCATGGAAAACCATGGAAACACACACCAAAATCACAAAGCCTATGGTTTATACATGTATATAATGGGAACACCTAGAATCCTATGGTTTATCCATGTTTATCCTATGGTTTAGATTGATTTCTATGGTTTGATCAACCAATGTTCAATAGAAAATCCCGAATTCCTATGGTTTGTATTGATTTATTGGTTATTAGTTGATCAACATGTTCCTCACTGAAATATATAGTCATACCTTGGGTGGTAAATGTTTCTTGGACGAACCCACATGATCCAACTTGCAATCAGATCCATTCACATAATGTGGGTAACCTGACTTTTTCAACCCCCCAAGCTCTTATGCCAGGCCAACAGAATCCCTGACCGGGTGCCTCTGGCTTTGGCGAGTCAGGAAAAGGAATCCAATTGGTCTCCCAGCACAAGTGACTGATATCCACGGCATATCACGGCATATCACGGCATATCACGGCATATCACGGCATATCCATTGGTAAATGACACGGATATCAAGGCGACTGACTATACCGCACCACTAGGCTATCTTTGATGTGGTTGAGGTTTGGTTTCTCTACCTATTATTCCTAGACACTTGAAACCTTGAAACGGATTGGTGATTTGTTGTGTATCCAACAACCCAAGAATCTTGTAATAGACTGGCGAAGGCAATGATTCAACTGTTGTACCTCGAAGTTCAATCCAGGACATGACAACGTCGAGGCCGTATTGTTTGGAGACATTGTGGCCTCTCGCAACAGCAATGCTGGGATACCCTGAGTTGGACTGAATGCCTCCATTCCGTATACATATACAATTATATATATATATACATATACAATTATATATATACATATATATATATATATTCATCGCCAGTGTGAGGGCACTGCATGGACAAAGAATGCCTGAACATTTTTACTCACCTTCCATCCGTCGAAGAATGGAGTGTGAATTTGTGAATATTTGTGAGGGCGGACGTTCCCAAGTTGTCCCACTCAGGCCTGATTCGTTGGATGAAGCTTAGCATTCATCTTGGACTGAAAGATATCTATCACACAGTGCAATGCCTCAGGCGTGGAATGTGAGGACTCAGGTTACTGGCTGGGACGATCCGAAATCTACAAATCATCCTGAACATACACTATATTATATTTCATTACATAAATACCTAAGGTACTATAGCTGCGTATCATGCATATCAATAATATCAAACGTCACCTGGATGTACAATGATGTAGTGTAGATATATGGATAGGTCATGTCATACACACATAAGAAAGTAATAGAAAGTACATGCACAAAGAAGTCGAATTGGTAAAAATCAGATGGCCTCCTTTGATCTGAACATCAAGTCAATCTGCTGCGGACGGCAACTCTCGCTGAAGGTGCACCGCACCTGCAGGATGTTTGTCCCACTTCACCATGGTTTCCACAGGTCTTCACCATGTCCCGAGACGTAAGGAACTGACCAATTCATTGGTGTAGTATCCACTTGGCTTCAATTCCTGTCAGAGCTTTGCTCCCTCTGCTTCCCAATGCTGAAAGCTAAAACAGCATTAAAAAAACGATTTCCTGGCTGGTACAGTACAAGCCACCAGCTCCCAACAAAACGGGTTGAAGACCCACGAATAGAAGTTGATAGTGCCACAAGGCTATACAACGCTATACATTTCATCGGTTTCCAGTTTCCCATGCAGCACCAATGCACAGTGATATAGCATGATATAGCTAGTTCGATATAGCTAGTTCCTGCCTTGCGCTCAGCAGCCACTTCTGCACCATCCTGTTAAAAGCAGCTCACATGTCACATGTCCCTTGTTCTGATGAAGACCCCAAAAGACAGAACGGCAGTGACAACTGGAAGATGCTGGAGAAAATCACGCTGAGCCTGTGCGATGTACTCCACAAAGTGATACTTCCGCAAATCCTCCAAATTTGTCAAACAAAGATGTAGAAAAAAAAAGAGTTTCCGTGTGACTAGCCTCCCAAGCATAGTGGAAATTGTTTTTGTCCCGGCTCACTTTGCGGTCCAACCTCATCAGTCTCAGGACATTGTCGCATTTTGCTTGTCTGATTTGCATCCAGTTCCAACCACTTAGCTTCAGGCAAACTGAAATGCTCTCCACCTTTGTGAATGCATACGAAGTACCTAGAATTGCAGTCAACCTGCTGCAAGAATCTGGCAATCTCAGGATATTAACGCATTACAGATCATTATTTATCAATATTTATCATCATAACTCATAACATCCATAACATCTCATAACATGATCTTGCGAATCTTGAATGAATATAATGAATCCATGAGTCACATCAGTTACGAATTTTGATCCTTGCCATTGGATATGACTCCAAGTGGCTCATGCAAGCCGTTGCCCAACTCTGCAGTGTGCAGCATCAGTGGCAGCCCATGTTCCATCAGGTTCCTGGGGACTAAAACGAGTTCGGAGTACTGAATATATCTGAATATTGTGGTAGATGTGGTAGAATATTGATGAATATGGTAGAAGTATGTAGAAATTCTATGAAATTCTGATGATTTCTGATATATCAGTGGTGTTGTAAAGCAGAAGAGAAAAGAGTAACATGAAAACATACCAAGTCTAGCCTCAAACAAGGCTGGAAACTTAGGCAGGTTCGCGGCATGGCCACAAGTTGCACATGCGCATGTTGTTCAGCTGCAGTCGGTGTGTAATGTATCGCTGTGATAGATGCTTCGGCTTCGTCATTTATTACTCATTATAAGGGCATTGCAAGCGCAAAAGACACGAAACAAACTACTCTTATCTTATAAACACGTTCCGCACACGTCGCAGATGCGGTCCCGACATCTGGAAAAATACTTCAACTTCTACTCCAGCCAAGGGAAAACCATCTCTGTCCTCTTCACAGTGCTGAAGGTTTCTACCTGTCCGACCCGCAAACTCTCAGCCAATGCCATTTGATTGGGAGTACTGCATGAATTGGGTTTCTTGCGCATAGGTTGCAAAAACCACCAGTGCCTTTGATAGCAAACACATCGTCATCTGGAATCTGGAATGTAAGTTTACTATAGTCAGTAAGGTTCTGGAATCGAACCGGAACCGTGGAACCGAACCGTAGAAAATCAAATAGCCTATGAACCGTAGGAACCGTGAACCGCTGGAACCGTGTGCAAAACCGAACCGGAGGAACCGGAACCATCTTACCCTCCCCCAAAAAAACTGATTGGAAAAGTTGTAATTGCTTTTTGAGTTCAATGAAAAAAACAAATATGGGTTTCTTCATAATAAATTACATGCACTGACAATTTCAGGAAGCTTTGGTTTTCCGAGTTCAGCTCTCTCCGCTCTTTGAAAGCCGCTGCTCATGAAACCTCTTGCGGGAAGCAATAAACCTCTTGCGGGAAGCAATCTGTATTTGCTGTTCCGACGCCGGAAAAAAAACAAATATCACTGCAGAATGTTCCAAACACCGAAGCGAACCGAAATCGACCAGGAACCGCAGGAACCGAAACCGAACATGAACCGGGGCCTATAGCAAATACAGTACTAGAAACCGAAACCGAACCGAACCGAAACCACACTGTATAGTTTAATCACACCGAAACCCTGATAGTAAGCATGTCATCCTTTAAACATTGAAGATCATTATCCCAGTGACCTGCTTGTTCCGACTGTCCCATTGAAGGGGCACGCGTTTCCGCACTGCGACTCGGGCCTCCAAGCACTTGGAATCCATTGTGTCTGCAAGGCTTCGCTCCTTCGAATGCCCAATATCACTATCAACGGGGGATAGTGATGGATAGTGGGGGTATACAGGTGAACATGGGCTCATCAGTCAACTACCAGTAATTAAATTTATAAACCTATCATACATCATTATCATCATTATACATCATTTTACCATCATCTACACTAGTATTACAATACTGATACCGTAGTATTACAATAGTGTTACCGTCCGTTGTGATCGTGTATGATCGTTCTGCCAACCATAGGGGCTCATCCTGTGATGCAATGGGCTGTCATCGTTCCATTTCTATCCATTTCTGTCCTGTCTGGTTGAAAAGGTGTGAGTTCCAGAGGCATGGGTCGAAGCATCCTGCCATGGTTCTGGCGTTTTCAAAACCGAAACAAAACTTGGAGGTTTCCTGTTTCCATGAGGGTACCCCAAAAAAATCATCCCATTTGAACAGGATTTTCAAATTATAAACCATATTAAACCATATTAAACCATAATCAATTTTGGGGTACCCCCATGACTATGGAAACCACCATTTCCAAACAAGCACAGCATAGCACCACCAAACCACCAAACCTGCCTCCTTGGAACTTGGGCTACAGCTGCAGTCCACCAAACCTTCGTCACAGGTGGATGCACCTGCACCGCTTCACCAAGGTGATACCATTGTGGATGTCGTTCTTCTGTGTTTTGTATCCACCTCTTGAGAAGAGCAAGACCGCTCGAAGACTTCAATCCATACTATGAAAATGTATAATTATAAATATACATAATACTATATAATATATTATGAACATATAACACGTCTTCAAACCCACCTGCTGTCGAGTATGTCACACAATGCCTCGGCATCTTCATCTTGGATCATTCAACCATCTAGGGATATCTAGGGGTACAGCTGCATGATCGACCTAAACAACACAGCAAATCTGTCAGTTGTCACAGATCCGCCAGCAAATCCAAGGACTGCGCTCATCATCTGTAGCGGTGCAAAGATCTTTGACTTTCCTGCGATTGAAAAAAAAGACTTTGGAAGCCAAATTTTGATGATTTTTGGGTGTGAGTCAAAACTTTGCAACTTGGGGAACATCCCAAATCGAATATGTTTAAATATATTTGATGTTCTGCTAATCGTGGGATGTTGATCTCCAAAATTTTGGACATGTGTTAGTCTTGCCCCCATGTCACAGTGGATGTGGCAGGTCAAAATCTTTTGTGGCGCAGTGCGATTTCCGGGCGCTTTCGGAGTCTTGGAGACATGGACTGTACAGGACCATCATGGCTCATCGAGGTAGGTTTTGCGAGCACGCAATCACTAGAATGAATTAATTACTTGGCACAGGAACCAAATGCCACCTATGTGAAACTATGTGAACCAAATGCCACCTATGCACAGCGCAATTCGCGCGATTCAACCGGATGCCATCAAAACAGCAAATTCAAAACCCGCCAACCAGAACTTGGCGGCTTTAGATTTGCGACATCCGTGATGATTTGCGAAGGTCAAAATCTGACAGATCAAAAACAGTCTGTCTGCTGAATTCGAACGGATCTCCATTCCGCAAAAAGTCTGCATCTCTTACTGCTATATTCAGGCAGGAGCATGCAGAAACATCTGTACAATTCTAAAAGCTCTTCATTTGCATCATCTTGCATCTATACACAATGAAAAAGGTACTGAACGTAGGGATGGACCTGGCCAACTTCAGTTTGCTCTGCTCCAGCTGGTTTTGCTCAATATGTTGCTACTTCCAAACGACAAGAGTCGATTTCATGGATGGTCCCTGGCCTGTTGTAGGTGTCTCCATTTCTACACCCAGCTTTCCTGGCAGTCGATCAAACGAAATTCCTCATTGAGCTGGGGGTTAAAGCGAACCTCAGCAGCCATCAGCAAAATGCGGCAAAAACATGCAAAAATCACAATCACCCAAGTCTTCGGCAAATATATTACAGTCTATCAGTTTATCCGTCTATCTGTCTATCTGTCAATCCATCCATCTAATCTATCCGATCCCTATCTTTGAGATTGAAACTCTTGATCGCCTCTTAGGTTTCGCGGGTTTCCTGCGTCAACCATTGAAGCTGGCTGGATAACAGGATCTGGATTTCATGGCGCTGGTAATGCAGCGAACGGAAAACTCTGCAGGGTATATGCAGAGGCACCAAGGAAAGCAGACAAAATGAATGAAAAATATACAAAAATATAGGAAGGTCTCAGAATCTGCTTGCAACAGCCAACTGAACGTGAGCCTCTGATCTGCTCTCTTCGTTTCAGTTTGCTCCGCAGGCGCTATGCACGGCAGGGAATTACTTCTACCTCCAGTGTTCTGTCATGCTGAAGTGCAGTGCAAAAACGCACTCATTGCAGGAGCATGCAAAGAAAACGTGCACTGATTCTTTTAGGAGGAAAACGCAGGCTACACTATCCAATCATGATCCTGGCAAGACTAATGCTATCTAAACTTAAACGGAATGTTAGGGCCAGGGCCCAATGGAGGAAGCTTGGTGGTCACCTTGTCTCAAGATTTTGCCCTCTCACTTGTCTTTTCACACCAACACGGCAACTGATTCAGCAAAGCTCATGTGCACAGCAGGCTTGCTGACTATTGCTGACTTAGCAGTGATCGACAAATACCTACTCACACAGCCTAGGAAGTCGCCGTGTTAGCGAATCGTAAGCACAAAGCAAATCCTAGAATCTCTGTGCTCTGAGATCAGAACTCCAAGTTGCTTAGGCAGTTTCGCAGGTTTCCTGCATCAATCAACACGATTCAAAAGACACTCTGGGTGAGAGTACAACAAACATACAACATTCCAGAATAAATGCAAAGGCACAGAATGGAAGACAAGCTGCATCTGTGCTTCAACAATCAGCCATAGACTATGGATCCAAATCATCTAAATTAATTATATATAGATCTAAATGATCTAAATATATTATATACTGTATAATCTACATGATATAAAGCTGGCACAGAAAATGTGCGACCTCCTGAGCGTTGCGACAGCCGACTGAACGGGAGCCTCTTCTCAGCTCTCATTTCAGTGGGTTCCGCAGGCTCTATGGACGGCAGGGAATTGCTTCTACCTCCAAGATTCCATCACTGGTGCAACTCTGCAGTGAGAATGAGAAAGCAATCATAGACCATCATAGATGATATAGATAATTATATTATATATACCAATTCTGAAGCAAAAAAAAGAGCAGAGACTACACTACACCAGACCAAAATGATATCCAGCATGATCCCACCACTCAATTAAACAGAATGCTATGTCTCAAGCTGAGAAACAAGATCACTTGCAATGAAAGACGAAAAAGTTCCACAATTTCGAAGAAGCAGCTGGGGCCTACTGAAGGAAGCTTCGTGGTCACCTCGTCTTGCGAATTCAGGTGTATCAGCACTCACACGTCAAGTGCACGACTAAGATGCAGAAACACGCAGAAACAAACAAATTGAACATCACATGGAGCTATCGAGGAGTAAACAAAGTGATACAAATTGAACATCACATGAAGGAGCTATTGAGGAATCGAGTTCATCATGAGTCTTGCCTGAGTCCTTTCCACCATGACGTTGCGGTCTTCTCCAATTTCTCCGGCGTCATATCCTGGGCGGTGACAGGCTGCCGTAGTTTCAAGTAGTGAAACAGTGAACGCCAGTCATACCCTCTGGTAATTTAACATAGCTATTGAAAATGGCCATTTACAGTGGATTTTCCCATAAAAAATAGTGATTTTCCATAGCTATGTTAAATTACCAGAGGGTAAACTTCAGGCTCTGCACTGGTTTCAGTCCTGCTAAGCGCTTTCCCAGCTTGCTTACTGCCATGCCGTGGGAGAACTTGCATCCTGAAAGTATCCCGACTTCACAAAGACGCTATGTAAGTACTTGCAAGAGTACCCAACTCCTATGGAGGAAATCATGCACAAAATGATACTATATGTAAATTACTAGATTGATACTATAGCAACAGAAGTGCCATAGTATCTGTCTGAAGAGTTGCACTGGTATCCCCCCACAAACATGGCACATAGATATGGAAAGTTGAAAGTCTCACCAGGCCAAACACTTTCGCCATGGAAGATTGGCTGCGGCCATTGGCCCGTTTCAAGCCGTCCTATGGGCAGCAGATCGTTGTCTGGTCCATATTGAAGACCCGGAAATTCCAGTGGCCTTGACCCAATTTGACCCACAGAGTCCAGGGAAAAAAGAAAGATGTGGGCTGTCTATGGCTATGGTTCTTTAAGGGAATCAATCCTACGCAATGAGACAAGAGCACATTGACATATTGATCATTCTACGATAAGACAGAGCCTTTGCTGGAATACTTATCTTCAATAATTCTCATAAAAAGTCAAGGTAGGACATGGGCTGTGGCCGGAGCTCTCCCAGCATAATCCCAAAATATCCCAAAGGTGAAAGAGGGCTGTTGAATTTTCTCCAAATCCTTTCACTTGTCAAGTGTTTGGGGAATGTGAGGAAGCCTGGAGTGTCTGTGTGCTCAGGTGACTTGATAGACAAATTCACTTCAATTGGCTGCAGGCTGCAGCCTTTTCATGAAATTACTGGTGCTGATTCAGCCTTGACTGCTTATCCTGAAGTTCTCGGTTGAATGGAGTGACTCCTCCACCGACACCACCAGTGGATGTTGTTTGCGCCCAATCCACGTCTCGTTTCAAGACTAGTCTTCCAAATACAATAGTCTTCCGATGTCTTCCGTCAGCTTCCATCTACTAAATGGTTACTAAATATATCTAAATATCATGTTTTGGGATCCTTCAAAGACTAGTACGTTTCCATACGTTTCCCCTCTCAAAGTCTCATCCGGATCACTTTCTCTGTCCAGTTCCAGCCTCCGGCAGAGTAACTTGCGGGGCCGAGCTGCCTGCACTGTGGGACGGTGTACTGTCAAGGCTCAGGATGGCCAAAGGTGTTACATGGTGTTACTAGCGGGTGTGTAAACATGTCAAAATTGTCAGATGCCAGGAGACTCTTCCGTGCCATGGAGGATAAAACATAACACGGGCTGAGCACCTTTGCCAGAAAGGATCTGCGCTGCATGCTTGACATGAACACTGGAGAAGCGGAAGCGAAGCAAGCAGTGCGTAGTTGAAAGGATATGGACATATGGACTGATGATGTCATTAATGGAAAGGTCAATTCGTCAAGCAGTCCTGCGCAAAAAGACAGAAGGTTGGAAATCTCACACTGGAGGAGAATGGTTGAGTTGGATGAGAATGGAAGGTCTTGAGCCACAAGTGAGGCGGATATGCAAGTTTCTGGAAGGTACCGTAGAATACCTTACCTATTGGTTATGGTCAATATTTGGTATATAGCTCCAAGTCATCAATTTTTGAAGAGTGTATTATCGTTTTTCGGGTTTTGGTATATAAGCAAGTGTTATCGTTTTTTGTCTCGAATACTACTTTCCATTAACCTAAATTTTGGTTGAAGCTCATATCACCAAATTGTTTGCTCATGTGTTTCCACACTCTTTGCCCATGCCGACTTAAAGTACTCGCAAGTCGAGTTTATCCGGCATTGAATGGTATGGTAGATCACAGTCATAACGACTAGTAACTAAGGAAGATGGAAGCGAACCATGGCTGGAAAGTTGAACTAGGAGCTCTGGTGGCCATTTTGAATCACACTTTGCCACACTGGATCACACTGGTTATTCACTGGTTCTTTACTGGTTATTTGGCACCAACGCTGTCATGAGCCGCGCACAGTCCTCCTCACTTCACAAGTTTTTTCCACCGAACCTCAGTGGCCGGGCGGGCGATCCAGGGCGCTGCCGAGTTCTCCGGGTTCTACTGCGGCTTCGGGTGCTCTGCAGCAGTTCCACTCTCTTGTTGCATTTCTCTGTTGCACATTGGATCACATTGGTGGAAGAGTTTTCATCCATTCCAAGTGATCCGAAAATTGCCGAACTGGAGTGGCGTCTAATCACCTACACCACATCCAGCTATGTTCAGGTACTAAAACTGGTTTTCTTGTTGGACTGGTATAGTTTGGCCATGTCTGGCCGCAGCATAGGATCAATCCCTGGGATCACGGAATTTTTGTTTGAGCTCGCCCAGTCCAACAAGTTGGTGCATGCAAAGGATACCATGGTGAAACAAACCAGGCAGCTGTACAAACATTGTGACATATTGTGACCCACAATCAAGAAAATGCACTTGTGACGTCACAATGGGCTCATCCATCACATGGCGGATCACATGGCGCATCACATGGCCATGGTTCCTCGTTCTCACGGATGATCATGGCATCTTTGTCCATAAAACCTAAGCAAAGCAGCAACACACTGCAACATATTCGTGAGACGCCAACATGCATAGGGTATCATAGGGTCATAGAGAGACTAGATTCCTAGAATTTCCTAGATATTCAGCATCGGTTCCATTGATTTTGATAGCATGTTTGTTTTGCAAGGCACGCTCGACGGTGTTCAACATCCGCAAGTGGAGAGCCTTCAAGGCGTGGTTTCAACATGTTTCAACCCATCACATCCCAAAAAAAACAAAAGCATTCTATAGTCGGATTTGGCCATCTTCCCATATGTGGGATAAGAAAAAAATAACTATAATAACTATAATTACTTTACTTCGAGTTATCCCCACCATGACATCTATACGTTTTGCTACTGGCAAATCTTCTAGCATTCTATCTGACATATCTTCTGGCATTTTATCTGGCATATCTTCTGGCATTCTATCCGGCATATCTTCTGGCATATCTTCTGGCACTCTATCTGGCATATCTTCTGGCATATCTTCTGACATTCTATCTGACATATCTTCTGGCAGGTGTTCTGGCATATCTTCTGGCATATCTTCTGGCATATCTTCTGGCATTCTATCTGGCATTCTGCATATCTTCTGGCATGTTATCTGGCAAATCTTCTGGGATTCTATCTGGCATATCTTGTGGCAGTCTATCTGATATTTTATCTGGCATTCTATTTGGCATACCTTTTGGCATTCTATCTGGCATATCTTCTGGCATTCTATCTGGTATTTCTTCTGCGCATTCTTTGTCCCATATCTTCCTACATGAGGTCCGGCAGGGAACACTTGGCGTGGATACTCGCGGTTGAGGTCCGGCAGGGAACATTTCCAACAGGGCTTTTCCAACTACATTTGCCTCCCATCGCCACTGCCATGTGCGAACGTACGTCCAAATGAGGTCATTCAATTTTTGTTCGCTTTCTGGGCAAGATGTCAACTGATCGGGCTTTGATCATACCCCACCCCTGCGTGACGAGACACATCTTCAACGTAGCATGACGTATGTGCGCACGTGCAAGTGAACGTGCCGTGGCGTAACATCATGGGAGTGCGCAAGTACGTGAACGTTATTGCCCCACCCTATAAAACAGTTTAGACAATTTGGAAGGAAATAGTTAATTTTGAAAAATAGTTAATTCGATGTTTTTAGAAAAAAAGTTAACTAATTAGTTAACTTTTTTTTACCTTAGTTAAAAAATAGTTAAAAATAGCTTTAAAAAATAGTTTAAACATAGTTAAAAATAGTATTTAGTAAAAAATAGTTTTTTTTGCTATTTTTAACTATTTTTGAACGATTTTTTGAACTATGTTTAACTATCTTTAAAAAAATGAAGGATGTTTGACATCATTTTTGAAGATTAATATGTGATGTCTCTATGTTATTTAATGCTATTTTGTTCATTTTGTACCATATTGTGAGCAATAGTTTCATGATTCTGTGCAAATATCTTTTCCTATTCTACCTAATTTTGAACACCTGAGTTTCCAGTGGCTTTGAAAAACAATATGAAAAGTGATTGTTTCTTTTTCTTTCACTGTGAAAGCATCTCAAACATGTGTGGGTTCCCTCAAGATAAGAATCTGGGCCTCTCAAAGTGTTTGGTCTCTCAAAAAAGAAAACCTCTCACAATGTGTGGCTTTCAACCATGGCTGCTGCCAGAAACATGAATCCCTCAAAGTGCTTGGGTCTCTCAACATGTGGCTCTCAAAGTGGTGCACCTGCAGGTTTTTTAAGACCTTGACCACATGAACCTTTGCCACAATGCCAGTTCTTGTTCGTGCCAAACTTAAACTTCAGTCACCAAAAATAATAAGTACCCTAGATCAGCCGGGTTTAGATCAGAAGACTTTGTGAACCCCCATGCGCATAAATAAACTCAAAATAACTTAAAAACGCATTAATTTTTTTCACATATTTAAGCATTTTATCCCATTAAAACGCATGTTTTTAACATTTTTTCATTTTATCTCATTTTTTATTTGGTTGGGGTACAAATGGATACGCATAAAAATTGGTGGATTATATAAATTATCTGAGGGACATGTGAGTGACATATGATTCATAATATAATATCATGGACGATGAGTCCAATGGTGAATGAACCAGGTTCACCAAGCAAGTGGGGTAGCAGGCCCAGTACTCCAGACCTTAGTCGGCAAGGATGCCAATGGCAGAAAGTCAAAAGAGAGTCCGATGGCACATCTGGTCGAATTTTTCCTTTAAAATGCGTAATCCACTAGTAATTAATTAGCTAGCCAATCAACGATTGCAGTGTCAATCTTTCGTTCACTTGTCAGTCAAATGTTTCGATCACTTGTCAATCAGCTTGTCCACCATCACTTATCAATCAAATGTTTCGATCACTTGTCCAACTGAAGTCTGAACAAATGAGCTTTGATTTTTTCCATCCGCTTTCAGCATGAGACTGGAGCTAAAATGTGATTAGGTTTCGCATTGTGATTGAATTATGAATTCCAAACACTTTGGAATATTCGGACCACAGCCTTTCCAAAAGCTGGAGTGTACACCTCAGATTCTTGCAGCAATGTTTTATTGCCGGTTTGGCATCTATCATCATTTAGCTGAGTTACTTGAGATACCTGCATTGTTAAAGTTAAAGAGGTAATCTATTAATCAACTTCCAACCAACCAATGGGAAAAGGACATCTATGAACTCCGGACCTTTGACCTGTGCTATTTTGTCAAAAACGACGAAGGTGAAACGTTGGTCTTTTACCTGATGATGTACCTTTTGCACCTTGAAACATGTCAACAAGAGAGTCGAGAGAGAACAGCATGTGTAACATGAGCATTGATTTCTTCATTGTACATTGTACAGTACAGTACAGTCCAGCAATTACAATGTTGGTGATTTTACCAAGACGTCAGGATGGTCTGAGACAGGACGGTCTGAGACATGAGCATTGATTTCTTCATTGTACATTGTTCAGTACAGTACAGTCCAGCAATTACAATGTTGGTGATTTTAACAGCAGCTGTGACACTGGACATCAGGACGGTCTGAGTCAGGATGAATGGAAGCTTCTGCTGAGACCAAGACTGACTGGCATGGCATGTCCCGGGCATCACGATTGACCCAGCCTGAGCCGAGCTCTGTGATGACGCCATGACGCGTTCAATATCCATGATCATGATCATGATCAATTTCAAATTTCCATCACATGTGTGAATTTGAATTGTGAATATGAATCATGTGAGATTCGTGCTTTGGATCAAGTTCCAAGTTGCAAGTTTGATGTGATTGTGATTCATGCTTTGGACTCGGATTCTGAAACCAGCAAATTCTTTCTGACTCTCTAGATAACAGATAACATGAATAAAATGCAAGGATGGTCAGGTCAAGCCAAGTTTTTGATGATTCTGCTGAGATCAAGACTGGCAATTAGCCCTTCGATGTGACCTGCAAACTTGTGATGATGCTGATGATGTGTTCAATATCCCCGTCAATCTTGAAATGTGCACCATTTGAGTTTGCACAAATGCAGTGACATGTGCACTTTTTGACAACCAGCACACAGCCGTCAGAAGACTCCAAGATCATCCTATTGACTTTTCTCTTGGCAGTCTTGGCCATTGGCATACTCGACAATTCCAAAGTCGATTTTCGACAATTCCAGCGTCGAGCAGCGTCCATAAAATTCCAAAGTCGATCGATTGTTTCCACAAGACAATTCCAAAGTCGATTTTCGACAATTCCAGCTTCGAGCAGCGTCCGTAAAATTCCAAAGTCGATCGACTGGTTCGACAAAATTCTGGTATATAAACTCGAACACCACACTTGGACCGAGAAAATCAAACTTAGACTTCCTCGACTTCAAGGTCCAAAGCAAGTTCCCCATAATCGGCCCAGTTTTCAGAGGTGAAAGTACTGTAAATTGTTGACAAATGTGCACGTTGGACAAGGTGCCAGTACCCCATGTGCTTGATCCAGATGAGGTTATTCCAAGGTGTCCACGAGATCCAAGTAGGGTCACTAATTTCACCACGTGTGCCCCACACTTCAGACAGCCGCACATCCGGCTCTGATTCTGGCTCAGGCTCGTCCATTGCGAACAAAATTGCACTGAATTATGAATTCGAACAAAATTGCACTGGCTCAGGCTCGTCCAAGTGTCGATCTTCCCCAAGGTGGAGGTCCATCTGGTTCTGCTGGTTGCCTAACATCCCAAAGTGCATGTTCAAATCCATGATGCATGCTACTATTTGCACCACACTTGGTGAAACCAAACCCCACCAATCTATACTTTTGGCCAAGAAACATAGATCCAAGTCTTGAAGATGGATGGTCTGCATCGAAAGCTACTTGCCTTTGGAGCATTCCTGGGCTGTGAGAATTTTGATCCATGTAGGTTAAATTTCTTTTAAACCAGGAGTCCCAATTCTTGAGCGCACTCTTTAAAGAAAACAATCCCAGTTCTTGGGTGGTGCCACAGCAACAATTTTTCCAATCTCAGCCAAAGAGACTGTAAGCCATGAGGACCATCAGTCCTTACATAGGAATGTGTTCCCTCTCTCTCGCTCTCTCTCTCTCTCTCCAAGTGCCATCCTCTCAGCATGTTATCCCTCAAAGTGCTCTCCAGGTGTGCTGCCTCTCTCTCTCTCTCTGACTCTCTCTCTCTCTGACTCTCTCTCTCTGACTCTCTCTCTCTGACTCTCTCTCTCTCTCTCTCTCTGACTCTCTCTCTCTCTCTGACTCTCTCTCTCTCTGACTCTCTCTCTCTGACTCTCTCTCTCTCTGACTCTCTCTCTCTGACTCTCTCTCTCTGACTCTCTCTCTCTGACTCTCTCTCTCTCTCTCTCTCCTCTAACTGCTCTCAACATGTTGTCTCTCAAAGTGCACAAACTCAACAATTTTAGCCAAGAAACCTTGCAACTTTTGGCTTTGCCACACTGCATTCCAGCTGGTGCTGCCCAAACCACGATCCATTCAAGGCTGGCACATGATGCCTAGCATCTTCACTAAAGTGAAGGAAGGCATTGCACCGAAGCGTTTGTGGATCGTTGTAGTGGAGCACCGGGGATTGTACCTCAATCCCCCATGACCAAAGCCATTGCCTCAAATCCCTTTGAGGGATGGCATATGGCAGCCCCCTGAGGTACAGCTTGGTCGGATCCTCCATTGCTACTTCTACCAAAGCTGTCAGATGTGTTGTGAAATGTGATATAATGTGAAATGTGGTGGTGTGAATTGTGTGATTGCCACACATGTGATTTAGGTATTACATTTTTTTGCCATGATATGTGTATGATCTAAAGATGTGTTGGTGTCTGTGAGATGTCAAAGTGTGAGATCTCTCCTGAAACATGTATTTGTGCCAAAAAAGAAGCCATTGCTGATTTTCCAACATGTCATGTCTCTCACTCTCACTCTCCCCCCCTCAAAGTGGCTCTCACTCTCTCTCTCCCTCTCTCTCTCACTCTCTTCCTCTCAAAGTGGCTCTCCCTCTCTCAGAGTGACTCTCACCCTCCCTCTCTCAAAGTGACTCTCACCCTCCCTCTCTCAGAGTGATTCCCACCTTCAAAGTGACTCTCATCACCCTCCCTCTAAAAAAGTGACCCTCACCGACCCTCAAAATGACTTTCACCATCCCTCTTTCACAGTGACTCTCACCCTCACAGTGACTCTCCCATTCCCCTTCCCCCTCTCAAAATGGCTCTCAATCTCACAGAGTTTGCAACATTCCATTTCCCAAATATGATGAAAATCAATGAAGAAACCGAAGAAAAATAGTTGAAACATAGTTTTAAAAAAGTTAAAAAGTTAATTATATGTTTAACTATTTTTAACTATTTTTAACTATTTTTAACTATTTTTAACTATTTTATTAACTATTTAGTTAACTTATTTTTAACTATTTACTAACTATTTTTTTTAACTTAAAAAAAAGTTAACTAATTAGTTAACTTTTTTTGGAATTAACTATTTCCTACCAAATTGTCTAAACTGGTCTATAGGGCACCCACCCCACCCCACCCCACCCCTGCGTGACGTGACACATCTTTCAACGTAGCATGACGTATGTGCGCACGTGCAAGTGAACGTGCCGTGGCGTAACATCATGGGAGCGCGCAAGTACGTGACGTTATTGCCCCACCCCACCCCACCCCACCCCAAGGAACAATTAAAAAATTGCCTAAAACGCTTGGACGGTTTTCAACCCGTAGGCTCAAACATGGCAATGGAAAATCCCCCATTGATAGTTGATTTTCCCATGAAAATCTCAAGTTCGGGGATTGTCCATCATCTTTCATCTTCCCCAGCTATCCGCTGCCTTGAGGTGTTCCATGCCTTCCTCATGCAACTGCACCATCTCGAAGTGGCAGCGACCAGCATCTGGCGCTCGGCGACGCAGCCGGTCCACGATCTTGCCCTCGCGGCGGATGTGGATGCTATGGATGCTATGGGATAACAATAGGATGGTACCCTCTGGTAAACTAACATAGCTATTGAAAATGGCCATTTATAGTGAGTTTTCCCATAAAAAATGGTGATTTTCCATTCCTATGGGACTATAGGATGGTATGGGACTATGGGATGATGCATCATGTTCATCCATTCCTAAACGTGACAAAATGTGACGTCAGTGCATGGACTGGAAAAGAACGAGTTCTTTGGCAGCGTGATCCTAGATCAGATTGATGAAACTGTATGGAAAATATCATAAAATATCCGGGCGCTCTCTTCAGAGAAAATGCAGGACTCCAAATGAATCTTTAAAGACTTACTCATGTCATCCCAGTTGATCTGTTCTTAAAATAGAACGCCGCATCAGCCAACTCAAGAGTCCCTAAAAGTGGTTGCGGTTCACATGTTCAAGGCAAGTGACCGTTGCCAGTCCTTAGCACAACAACTCTCACATCTCTCACCCACAGGCCAGGACAAGCTTAGCAACAAAAATTAGCCTCAGAGGTAGTGGCAGCTGAAATGGTGTCTAGTGATGGCATTGGAGACGGAACATGTTTATTTGGATTCGGCTCACACCTATCTCAATCATAAGAGCTCAGTGAAGCAAAGGGAAATCATCAGAAATGCAGATCGATAGAGTTTTTTCCCCAAACCCAAGCCCTTCCTGAACCGAATGTTCGCCATGCATCTCCGCCATTCCGACAAAACGACACGGCACACAGCATGAAGATTTCCCAGTCCCACTGCAGCCACTCCTTTCTCGACTTGCCTTGCTTTGCCAGCACCCATATTGACCAAATGGGGATCTTCAGGAAGAAAACAATGACAAACTGAGATATGATGTGATACAATTCTCAAGCCAATAATAGCTAATATTATCTAATATTCAAGTACATGTAAAAAAGCGGGTAACCCACCAAAATCATCCAAAATCTACGGTTGACTCTCTCTTTGGAGGGCAAGGACACGAACAATTATTTGGGTCCTACATGTTTGTGGTCATACGATGTCATACGGACAGATCATGACACAATATCAAATCATATTGCTCTACGAACACTTCCAGAATATCAAAAACACATACGCGCACTCGGACATTCTTCGCCCATCAAAGTGAGACAGGAGCAACAGCCGGCTTGTGTGGGCTGCTACTTCACAATCATGAAAACAATACATCAAACATCAAACTACTAATCATTTTGTTTCATCAGGGTATGGATTAGTATTCTTGAATCCCAAAATGGATAGCGTCTGATCCACCAAATCATGACCTTTTTTTACTTTTTTGTAGGTCTAAAATGGTCCAAACAGAAAGCCCAACAAAATTCTGCACATCTCGAGGTCCAAATTCTGCACCAAGGCACTTCAGCATTAGCAACTTGGACTGCAGCAACTGCTCCTGGTGGACAATCCCATCTTGATGGATCTTTTTTTTGGGCCAAAATCAATAGATCCAAATAGATCCAAAATTCTCAACATTTGGGGGTTGTTTTGTTTTGTTTTAATGGGGAAGGGATTAGTATGGATTAGTATGGATTAGTATGGATTAGTATGGATTAGTAGAACTCCAAATTGCCCCAAACCCATCAGGGTCCCATCGCCAGTGGCCCATCCTGTAGCTCTGGGATCTGCTTCAACTGTTCATTCGCTTCCTGCCGCACCGCACAGGCCAAAAAAGGGTCGAAACGGAGGGGCAACAGGCAGGTGCAGTTTCGACATTTCAAGCGTTGGTTTCTAGGAAAAAGGTGCCACAATATATGATAATGAATGATTCATAGAATCATAGAATATATGAATGGTCTCATGAAAACAAGTATTCAGACAACATGAGGCAACAACAGTAGAACAAAAAAAACATTGGAAACCTGCTCCTTCCCATTCTTGGGATATAGGCAGTCCTCCAGCTGTGCTTCAAGCACTCTTCTCCGCCTCACCTCGCGGCTGGGTCCATGAGACCAAAGCCCAAGAAACGATGTGCAGTGTACAAGACGAACCTGCGATGTCCCAATGTTATATTACTAACATGTAGTATTAGTAGTATGTGTATGTATGTACATGTATATATATATATATATACATATTGATTAATTTATTTAAATATTGATTTATGTATTTGTTTATTCATATAATTATATATACCATCATGTACCATGTCATGTATCATCATCCATTCATTTCCTTTCTCAAAGCGTTGCTCTGGTGCTTTGAAACCCTCCGTCTCAAGCAATTTTGCTCCTCACCTCATTGTCCAGTTTTTGTTCCAAGTCTTGGACCTTCTTTGTGTACTCCTGTCCAGACCACAGCTGATACAGCTGGAAGTGCTGGAAGTCAAAGGTCTTCAACATGAGTGTTCAAATGGAAATCACCATCTTCCAGAATTTGGGTCAGGTTATGTCAGATTATTAATGGAAAGATATGGGAAGGATGTCAATCTTGAAAGTCTCCGATGGGTATGCGGGTATGCGTAAGATGTGGTATGCGAACATCCTCAACTGCGACTGACACCTCTTAGCAGGGCCGTTCCACTGTATAGAAACGAAGCATGTTCATTTTTTATATGCCTGGTTGACGAAGTTGTCCCAAATCATCTTGAGCCATTTCATGTTAGAAACAAATCAAGCAAATCACATAGGAATATCAGAAGCCATCAATGTCCATCGACCCTTCATGACCATTCCACCAATTACACGTTAGACATCGTTAGGCGCTTTGCAGAAGTCCTTGGCGTACCTTCTCTGTACATCTTTCTCCTTGAAACATCTTGAAACTGAATAGCTGGGGCGAGTGGATCACAGTGGAATTCCCTGGTTTGAAAGATTACTTGCACCGATTGGCTGCAAAAAACAAATTGAAAATGCTGGAAATAATATGAACTTAAATAACTTAGTATGAAACAGAAGATAACATGAATGACTTTGGAATGTGTTGGATATCTTGTCATCCCATTCTTCCTTGGCAACTCCTGCAATTCTAATCGTTGCGAGATTCGATCCAGGCCGCGTAGGGAGTACCGACCCACAGCTCAGCAGTTTCTGCTGGCACATCTGAGTTGAAGTCCTCGAGAGTGGCAGATCTTGAGGTGAAATCCAGCACTTCGTGAGACCATCGGAAATGAATCGCTGGATCAGACTCGGATGGTCCGCAGATGTCCGGCGATGTCCGGATCATTCATGATAATTCAAGTCAAGTCTCCACATGATATCTATACTGGCTGCTCCGATCACTCTTCTTTGCTCCTGCCGAGACTTGCGCTTGCTTTTCCAGTCACGTGTGCTGTCAGATGCAGGCAGGTCGTAGGCACTAGCTGAGGAGATTGTCAGCTCAGAAAACCATAGAAAACCCGCTTCAGGATCAGTTGTGCAGTCACGACAATTTGGACTTTAAAATACTTTCAGAAGCTGTCCGCAAGATAGCGTCCAAGACACCTGCCTTCGTTGATCATCGTGTTGTCCTGGGCAGACCGCACAATGCATACTGGTTCACAGCAAAAAAAACATTGCATTACAATTATATAAACCTCGTTCCCAACTTTGTATTTGGTGCATGACTGCTGTTGCTGCTCATTGTACTAGCAGTACGAACAAAAAATAACTTGTGTCTTTGTCCCTCTGGAACATTTTTCAGGACAATTTATGAAGCTCCTTGCAAGAATCATTTGCAAAGGAGCTTCGCTGGAAGTATCTCAAGTCCAGAGTGAATTTGGGGGTGCACACAGCTCCTCTGCTGCACACGGGAACTTAATGCCGTGCAGGCCTGATACACTTATGGCTCCTAGGACATACTTCTTTGAAGGACATGCGGCTGTTCTGTTCTGCTCTCAACAAAATCCATCCCTCAAAGATTCGGAGTTGGCTTCAAAACTTCAGTGGATCTGCAAGTAAGCCCCTTAACAAAATGCAAACGCACGGGAACCTTGATGAATTTTGAAACTTAGGCCGCCCGAAAGGCTACAAATCACACCTGAAATGTTTTCCATCATCCAATTCATGCAGTGCCATCCACTGACCTGGGACAGGCTGCGCTGCCAAGGGACTCGCAAATGAGCCTCTCGAGTGCATTGGCCGCCAGCGCCCAGCACAGCCATGCCACGGGACACCATGCTTTTATGCTGCATGGCTGGAGATTATTCAGTTGGCATCTGTATCTAACGCACTATTAACGGATCTATCCGCTCTCCAATGGATCCCAAACACATCTGCAATTTGCAATGTATTTGAATATTATATCTGAATATGATCATTGACTTTGCTTGCCAACCACTGAGCAAAGATGGTGTGATTGAGGAGGGTTGAGCCCCCTGTCGATTGAAAACAAAACATAAAAAATATGAAGTATGATGCTGGAGCTTATAACGCATTTGTGTTCTTTGGCCCCCAGCTATGGCACGGCTTCAAGGACGTGTTTAGATTGCTACAAAGAACATGACATGCACCACTCGAAGCCGATTGAAGACATTGAAAGCCTGACAGCAAAGCAAATCCTTTGTCAACGGAAATCAAAGGCCCTCACAACAATATTTGGAGGACATCTGTCCAAAGCTGCTCCTCAGCTGGCTGGCGGCAATACAAAGGCAATCTGCTCTAGCTGTCAAGGGACTTTGGGACGTCTGCTGTATTCCATTAGTGGGCGAGGAAAAAAGGCAGCACCGGTATTCCAATTTCTTACAACCAAGAAGTTCGGCAATGGACATCACCCATCAGCAGCTCAGCAGCAGGTCAAGTCAAATCTGGACAGGTCGTGCATTTTTTCCCATTCCTCCTTTGCACATCGGCACTGTCAGTCGCATTTCGAAAGTGCGGAAGCCTGGAGGTAGCAACTCATAAGCTACGCGTCTGCACTCGGCGCAGACACCTAGAGCACACCAAGCTAAAGATTATAAAGATGCAGAGTCATATCATATCGACATATCATAGTTACAACTGCTGCTAGTTGTAATAGCGTGTGTTTCTCCAAATGTCTACATGTTGATCTGAAGATTGTACAAAACTTTGATCTGCCCTCCAAGCAGCAGTGAAACTGAATTGACATGGAAAATACCCGTGTTCTCAATCCAGCAAGTTGGCGTGAGAAAAATCGTGGGATGGGAGGTCCAAAATAGAATCATTACAAAAAGGCCCACTGCCGAAATCATGTGAACTGCTAAAAGTATGTTAAATGTCGGACAGCCTCCTCAACGAAAGTGGCATATCCCAAAAGGTCTCCCACCCACATGTACAACGCGACAGCAGTCACACTGCACTCAGTCGCAGGATGAACAGGATTAGATTCTCGGTGGATTGAGCAAACAGTTTCCTCCACGTCTCCCCACTCCTCAACTCCATGAATTTGCCTCAGCCAGGGCAGTCGCAGCATGTCATGACATCAACAGCGCATCAAGACAGTGCCATAGCAGCCATAGCATACTGTGTTCTGGAGAAACAAGCCGACTACCAGGACTACCATGGTACTTTGATGTACTTTGTCCAAGATTTCCAGAGGAATATTCAGGAGTCGGCATGTTTCATAACATGTTTCATCATGCCAGCCTGGCCTGGCTACAATCGGCTACACCCCTTTGCTGGCTAGTCAGCTCATGTCAGCTCGCTGTTCATCCAAGGCGCTCTCGCTTTGCTCCCCTAGGCACTTGCTTCAAAAAAGGCAATGCCCTACAAGGAGGCCCAAAATGGCCAACCAAATCTCCAGCTGCAAGCAGCTTGAGGCATTCTTCACATCCAAGTCCAGGGCCTGCCAAAACAAGTGAAAACCGGATAAAAATGCTGTTGAATGGAACACTGACAAAATTAAAGCTGAATCTCTGTTGAATCTCTGCTGGATTTGACAAAACAAATGACAATTTGATATGACTGGCATTGACTGGCCATACTGTAAAAAAAAAACATCACAGTGGAATAGATCGTTCAGGGAGCGGGGAAGACACGGTGGCTAGTTCTCCAACGACCGATGCCCGCTAGTGGCCCCCACCTTGAAAGTGCCCTCAAAGATATTGCGGAACTCAAAGGCCGACATTGCCCACACACAGCAGATTGACATGGGCATCATGACCCACTCAACCATGCTGCTTCGAACTGTGAGCTCGGGATGTGTGTATGCATCTGTGAGAAGTGCTGCTAGCACTGCTGGGAAGAGCACTAAGCGGCAGCAAATGTATGCAAGACTCAAGAGTGCCGAGTTCAACTTGTACAGGACACTTTGTTTGATCTGATTCTGATGCACTGTCGAGCAACACTTCACAAGCTCAATGTTGGCAAGGAACATGTTGGAAAACTCACAGAGACCTGCTGCGGCACCCCAAAAGTGCATGCTGCCCTTGAGCAAACCCGTACCATAGACGAGGATCACCATAACGTGGTGCACAAGGATCCTCTTCCGGGATGCATTCAAACCCTTCCAGAAGAGGAAGGGAATGTGGACAAACAGTCGGGTGCATAAAAGAAGGCATCCGTGGATTGACGACCAACAGGTACCATTCCAACGTGCATCAACACTCGTAGATAAGATGGCAATGGAACCGAAGGCACTGGGAAGCCTCAGCATGGTGCTCCGGAGGTGCCGCCCCGAAAACTACATCACTGACTACATCTGACTACTCCACTGGAAAAGCGATGAAAATTGTAAAATCGTCCGAGGTCTGACATGTTGGTGCCTAAGGTGTATCTATATTATGATATACTACTAGTATACATCTTCTCTGAAAGCCTCAAACAGCTTCAATCCCTGCTTTGCATTGCTACCTGTAGTGGAATTGCGGTGCACCAAACGCTACTATGCTACTAAAAGCGCGCAACACAGACACGGAAAACACAAGACAACCCGGACCCCATCTGGCCACAATGACTTCATAAAGGTCCCAGTTACAAAGAGAAACTGAAGAGGAGCAAGCAAATTGCATCAGCTGCCCATAAATCACCTCCTGGTTCACCACGTTGTTTCATATTTCGAGAACGCGGGAACATAAGCCACGACACCGGGATGGCCACGATCTGCCCGATGGCAGTGATCCCGATGTAAATCAGGGTCAACTGTACCAGCTCTGAGAACTGCATGTTGTACCGAATCTGGAGTGGGTCCCCAGCATCCATGGCTGCAACTTCCATGCTTCTCACGCGCCGTGCCGCGCCGGGATCTGTTAAATGGAGCCGTCTCGGAGGCATAACAAAGTTGGGGATCACATGAGATTACGCAAAAATCATCAAAAATCCAAGTGCTGTCTGTAGTGCATGGCCAATGTGCATCTACAATCATCTACATGAAGGTTGTCAACGTTTTAAGTTATCAACTGCAAATGCTGGGCACTGTCTACTGCTGCCATGGTTCCAAGTTGCAGTCTTCAAGGTCTCCCCTGGACAGCATCGGACCTGCAAAAACCACAACCTTTGATGTACCTGATCGAACAGCTCCGACAACACAAAACATCAAATAAACTAAGAATGTGCGCTAGCTGGCATATTGGTCAACACATTCACAACTCCTAGTCTATAAACTCCAACACATCCTCAACTATAGCAAATGCAAATAGATGTGATCTATACAAATTGTTAGACCTCCATAGAAATCAACATTCTGAATCTTTTAGGAATTATTGAAAGTCACTACTCCGACAATGTGGGACGTTGTTTCTCCGCTCCTTGGGAGGCTCAAAGATCTCCAGACTCGCAGTTGCTCCCATGGAAGCAGGGAACCTCACATGGCGGTTTCGGATGTCCAAGTCCAATATAATACAATATATATATACATATATGAACATATCCGAAATATATCTGAGAGTCTGAAAGTTAGTTGATCTTGGAGGAAAGTTTGAGGCACCTCTACAGGATGCCAGCGATTCAACCAATGACTGAGGCCAAACAGCTCGGGGCACAGAGCTACCAAGGTGCTAAAGAGATCCAAGGAGTGCTGGAGAGCCCGCTGGTTGATATAAGCCCTTAAAAAATATCAACCAATTGAGGATCATCTTCAAAGTAAGCATGGAAATTGAATGAACATGAAGCTACAAGGTGGGACCCCCCAGTTATAAGTTGGTTTATAAACCCCATTAACTATAGTTATAAGTACCATAAACCATAGTTATTGGAGTTATAAACCAACTTAGCTATCTTGGGGGCACCACCTTGTAAAGAGTATGCCTTTTCTCGACCGATTCGTCGCGCAAGTGTCATTTGCCTGGCACCAAGTCTACTGGATTGGCCTGGGACACGGCGTGCGTAGACATGCTCAGGCTCTCTTTTGTAAGGCGTTGATCGTTCGTTCAACCCCCGAGCAACATCGAGCAACCCATCATCCATCATCCCAAGGGGGGTTGCTTGGGGATTTGCTAAATATATTGAGGCCTTGTGCCTCACCGGGCATGCTTTTTTCATCTTTTTTCCAAAGCACACCGTTTTTTGGGAAACCAATGGAAACCATGAAGTCCAGCCAAGACAAACATCGCACAACCAGAAAAAAAAACAATTTTGTGAAACAAACACAGCACTGGTGAATGTTCACCTTGGACGAGACCTCTGTCTTGGGCCCGCGAAGCGTTTCAGACCAACATGCTGCTGCCCAACAGCTTGTGCGGATTCTGCGGAGCCAAGGATTTGCTGAAACTCAAATAACACTTACACGATCTTACAAGCGTGGCCCGATCTCAAAAACAGAACTTCGGAACGATGTCAGCTGATAAATCTGATAATCTCTCCAAATGTCAATGTGTTCTTAGCAGGGAAAACATCGCCAAGCAATCCCCACCTTCCGCCAGGAGGACTCATACTTGTCATGTCGACCAGTATTGTTCTCCAGCCTCAGTGTCGACAGCGTCATGCATTGCAGTTGCACCAGTTTCACAGTGCACCACATATTTCGCGAGGGAAGTCAACTCAATTCTCAGCCTAGAAGACAATAGATGAGATTGGCATGGTAAGGCAGTTCTGTTGCGAGTTGCTAGTTGCTGCCACAGCTTACACAGCTGGACACCTGTTGCAGGCGTCTGTTTTTCTCTCACACCTGTCCAAGTCTTCTTGTGCTCGATCTTGATTGTTTGATTCTGTGGCTCATTGTCATCATACAGGAAATATCATAGGAGTCAAGTTTCCAAAAATCAACGAGTAATGTTAACATTGTTAAATTCCAAATGTCTGCAAAGAAGCTTTGTCTTGTTCTGGAAGTTGTCCAAATGCTTCTTCCCGTGAACAGCCTCCGGAAAGCGCTTTTTTCACAGCCCTTTCACAGTTTGACCACGTGTTGGCCTCTGTCGATTCCCAGTGCCCCAGGTTGACGAAATGGCCCTGCGCAACAAACTTCATCCATGTGTCTCCATGTCTTGGTGAATGCCCTCGCATTTGGCATTTCCCCAAATTGACTAATAGATATTAATAGATATTATATTATAGTATATAATATTATATAGTATAATATATTATATTATATTATATAATTATATAATTATAATATATATATACGTATAACGAAGAGCAGTTGCTACATCATTCTTTCAATATCTTTCAATGCTGAAAAAGCATGCGAAAGGCGAATGCGTTCAAAAAGCACATACTTGCAGAAGAATGCTCTTGACTCTCTTGACGTTTCCATCGAAAGCAAATCAGTCCCTTTCCTTTGGAATGTTGGCGTGTCGCCGTCGGTCACCCCCAACGGGTGGCTCGTCCTGCACATGGATCAGCCACCTTTCCAAAATAAATCAAAATACTGCGTGTAGACCGTGTAGAACTTAACATTGCTAGATGTTGCTAGATCATGTGGATCCCTGGGGGTAGACATTGCTATACATTGCTGAAGATACAGTACCATCATGGAGCAGGGGTGAATTCTTGCTGAGCTCCCTGCAGCATTGGGGCCTTGGTCAGAGGAAAGGTCACCCTAAAGGCGTCACATGGCGTCACGCAACGCGGCACGTCGCGCTGGGACATCGGGCATCCAAAGTATGCCATGTGATCTTCGCTGATGTGATTGGATGGCCTGGTGCAGCCAAGCACTTGGAACGTCAATGGACTTGCCATCGTGTGCCACTCTGCACTGGGCCCATGAGGCCCAAGATTCATAGATATCCAAGGCATTCATGACTCATGTGACGTACCTGTTCACAGGAGCTGGCCCATCACATCCTTTCTCCATGAGTGCTCGCTCGCGAGCCTTGGACTCAACTATGCAGCGACCAACATCAGCCATTGTCTAAAAAACTAAAAACGGAAAGAAATTATGTTGTCGTGTTTGATTACTGTCATCGTTTTTCAGGTGTGGGGCAAAGTTGATGATCAATGTAATGTATTGATTATGTATTCATGATATACTCGTCATGTACTCATCATGTACTCATTGTATTCACTATGTATTCATTAAGTACTCATTATGTTTATTGACTGTGTATTCGTACATATATGTAGTAAAATATTGTAGACTGGGCAGCCCACCACGTTGCCATATTTTAGCATAATTGATTGTCGTTTTTGCTCTGGTTCTCTTATCGTTCGACCACCTCTTGCCTGTTTGGGGATATCGTCGATGGTTTTTTCCTTTCATCGTTTTCTGACGTCGTAGCAACATCGGACACAAAGGGACCATGTTCTACTAAAAGTTCACTTGCGGAGTTATTTAAAAAACCACCAAGTGAACTGGCTGGTAGATTTTCAGCAAAAAAAACTGATTGTCAGCAAATATCAGAATCAACAAAATGATCAGCCGGCTGATTCTGACCTCATTCTCCTTCTTCTGCTCCATCAAGCTATCAACAGTTGGGATGTACCTTCACGACAAAGCACTTTCCCACATATCCCCACATGTCTTACTGAATCAAATCGGTATTTCTTCGAGGTCTAACACGGAGCTCTGCAATCCTGGAGATTTTGATCCTGAGGATTTGATCGATCTGCCTGCGGCCTTCTGTTGCCCGGTAGTCGGCAGCTGTGGAGATCCCGTCAACCTGCATCTGCTGCCCAATAGTCACTTCAACAGTCCCTGTCCGCTCGTCCAGCAAGTTTGAGGGGTTAAATCATGTTAAATCATGTTATATAAATCTGTCTGAGATCACGGCCATGTTTTGTTTTGGAAATATATGCCTAAAAGCACCAACATGTCAGCTGATGTCGGAGCCAGTGATATTGATTGTTCAAGACTGAAAAACACGGCACACGTAATCTACATTATTCATCATTAATCATGATTATTCATCATTCTTCTAGATGATCTAGAATCTAGAGTCTTCTAGAGTTCCCAAAGTTGACGCTGTGGAAATCTGCGGATTTCTGCGTCTGGTCTGTATATGGCTCAAAAGAAAAACGTTCTGAGGCTTCGGCTTTTTCCCTTCACCACCTGGGCGACCCGTTTGGATGCCCAGCTTCGGATCCTCCGTCACTGTTTCGCGCTGCAGAAGCCACAGAACTCAGAACCTATATGAAACTATAACATATACCTTTCTTTAATACATCTTGTATAGTCATCTTGTACAGAAAAGTGTACATTGACAGAAACCATGTCCTCCTTGAACTCGTTCTGTTGCATTTTGAGGTCTTTGTAGTTGTCCTTCCTGGGGGAAGACCTGCACAGATGGCACAGTCATCTGGATATCTTCAGTGTCTTTGACCAGTCGAGTTAGCAAAGTTGGGGACTCTCGGACCAGAAATACCCCAAACCACCAGCCCAGCTCTCATCAAATCTTTAGATACGCGCAAAAGTCGTCACAAGACATCACACAGCATACCCCAAACACATCTGAAAAATGAAGCTGCATAATTATGCATAATTAGTCGATTTCCATAAATTTCCAATCTTTGATCATCCGAGGCACTTCTGGCTCAATGGCTCTTCGGTCGCCACATTTTGCTGTCGCTGCAACTCCATCTTCTCCATCTCCTGTGACGGACTTTCTATCACCGCTTTAGTCAACACGAGTGAGTCACAACCCGGCAGTCCTGGGTTTCTTGCGCGAAGGTCTTGGGAACAAAGTGTCCAGTGCCATAACCTGCTGAATTATCATTGAACAATTGAATATCTTAGGAATTCTTCGGATCTCTTGATATCTGGTGGCTGGCCTCCAGAGCGACCCTTCTCCGCCTTTTGGTTGGTGAGGGACTCCTGCAGCATTGGCAGCTTTACGGTATAGTTAGGTATAGTTGTTCAGATTCAGATTGGATGGTTGGATGACTCCTTAAGCATCCTGTTTTCAGCATCCTGCCTGCATCCGCAAAATCCAGCGGGTCAGGTCATCCGTCCGACCAGAAGGCAGAGATGGACAATTCGCCTGCAGACCACAGGGACCACTGGGACCGACACAGTAGCAGGGTGGGAGAACTGTCAGGATGCCTCTCCAACCACATCGCGGATAGCCTGAGCTGGTCATATTCTTTAGCTCTTTAGCACCTTACGGATGAGGAGGGCTATCTGACCAAAAAAAAGGATTTTCATGGGTTTTCTATCAGATTTTTTTTGGCCAACTGCCAATCGGATCTGGGCATCCGACCAAGGCGCGCTTGCGCAATGCAGACTGGTTCAAGGTCTGGCAGGTCGCAGCATCTCTCTGTGGCTCTACATTAGCAGCGACCAATTGGAAAATCCCGTGCTCAGATCTCTGAGTACTCTGAGCCTCTAGTTGGGAGAAATTCCACAATTGCAGAACCTGAAGACAATTCATAGCAATTGAGCAGAAAATACTAATAATATGTAATGATTATATTGGATAGTAATGGATAGTATAACTCCACAAAATTATCAATCAACATGGGTTTGGCAGCGCTCAAGTGCTTGTGGGATCCGCAGATCCAGCGGAAACACTGCAGCATCCAAACATGAAAAAACTCGAGCTCCAGGCTTTGCCGTTCACAGTGACCTGAAAAAGGCTCCGAGACAAAGATCTGTTGACAGCAGTGTTTTAAAATTATTCACCTTAATCAACAACGCATTTGAAAAACATATTTGAACGGGTCAAAAATGATGGCCGAAAGGTTTCATCTGATATCCTGCAGGCACTAGGTCCAGCGACCTCACCCACCGTGGCAGGAGCTGCGTGGGTGTAGGTTGGGAATAGCCTTGGAAGCATTCTGGCCGGTACAGCTGACAGTCAGCTGACAGTGCGTGGGGACGTCCTTGCTCTCAAACAAGCGAGATTTCAAAGCGAGATCAGACTCTGAATTGGCCGATGTAAGATGGAGGAAGTAGTAGTGATCAAGCTGAATAAGATCCCAACTTTTGTGCATCCCCATGCTGACGTCCGAAAATGTCGCCTCAGACTGCGTAAAACGAGGCGACGTAGTGTACTGACAAAATTTCTGGACTGACCGTTGAAAAAAACGTTAAGAAACTGATAATTCATGAATATTCACAGTAGTTCATGTTCTCCGACAATTGGTGAGATGTTTGCCATACAACTAGCATCAACTAAGAACCGTGATGTAACAACCGATGCAGCACCGGCAGCGTGAGGCCACGACCATCAGCCCGCCTTTCACGACCCGAGAGATAAATCTCTGAGTCCACCACCTGTCTAAAAGATCTACCCTCTGGTAATTTAACATAGCTATTGAAAATGACCATTTATAGTGGATTTTCCCATTAAGAATGGTGATTTTCCATAGCTATGTTAAATTACCAGAGGGTAAAAGTTGTGCACTGATTCCCCCAAGAAGGTATCCATATCAATCAATACTACGTACGTAACTTTGCTGCTCAAAAGGCTGCCTTGCTCCGGGCCCAGTTGTCGGCCATCGTTACAGAACAGCAGCCACAATCAGTGTATTGCACTGCTTGTCTTGACTGTGTTTCGCCATGTTTCATGTACAATTAATATATCCCGGCATCTACATCTACAGTGGAAATCACTCAAGGTTTTGAAGCTTCACACCATTCACACAAAACTTGCACTGGGTGTGGATGGGAAGGGAACTCCTGCGCTGATTGGTTGCCCTGATGTGGCTGCACAGAGTGATGCATTTCATGACAAGGCTTGGCACCTCTGAATTCCCTGAAAGAATCTCTGAGAGAGCTACAGCAGATACAGCAGGCCTTTTTCCGATGGTGAAACGGCTGGCGTGGATGCTGATGTGACATGGTTTCATTCTGCATATCATGTACGTTTTTATATGTTTTTTTATCATATCAATTCTGAAATTTCAGCGTGCCTCATCCCAAATCTGTGACACAACTCGAAGTGGGAGTGTCACATCGACGTCACCAGCAGACATTAAACTGGACATTAAATGTATCGATGTGCCTTTGACACCTAGACGCTGATCAGTTGAAACTGCGCAGACTGAGAGCGACAGCTTCCGACCTGATCTGAGGTGAAACAAAATAAAAACATGATCTGATTCATTGGATCAAGGTGAACAAAGGCCAAAGGCAGGCTGCTGATCATTTTCAGCCCACTTTCTAAAAAACCTCCAAAATATAAACTTCCTCCAATCGAAGAGGTGTCATAGGATCACCAGCATCAGCCTGTCAGCCTTTTCCATCCTTTTCCTACTCCTACCATGCCACTCACTCCGGCTGCACAGCTCCTTGGTGCAACACATCCCCAGACTAAGGGCCCCAAATCCACTTGGTTTACTCTATTATGTGGATCAATTACATCCAATTAATGGGTTCGTTGTGGTTTGTTGATCTATTTCTATCCAGTGCGCAAATCTCATTACAATTTCTGATTCGACTTCTGAGAGCAAGGCTACTGTTGCGGCGGCCGTGCACGCTGCTACTGTTGAGGCTATTGATGAAAAATATCTGCCATGCAGGAAGCGACAGGTGCAATCGTTCACCATGAGTGGTTGCGGCACTGATTGCGCATATTGCAATATGGGTTAGTCCAAAAATGTGGGATACCCAAAAATTGTCACCGTAGGGATGATGATCAGGCATCTAATTTTGGGGATGTTGGGGGTATCCGTGGGTATCCCACATTTTCAGACACCAATATCAACAATTTCCGAACAAGACTTACACAGCACAAATCTTGGCAAGCTCGGCTGGTGCGAAGATGAGACAAGCAGCACCAACGACTACGTAGGCTATGCCCAGAAAGGCATTCCTTGGACACCAGAGCATTGTGAATGCGCATCTGACATGTACATAGTTTCATTGAATGCTGGAGTTGATTTCTGAAAAATAAGCAAAGCAAACCACTTCCTACAGTTTTATGCAATTGGAAATACGAACGGAAGGGTAGCCGCACACTGCTTTTCAATCCATTAGCTTGATCTGCCCAAATTACAGAAGTCCCACATCCGCAAACTGTTTTAATCTGACTTTGAAAACAATCAAATTTGACCTTGTTGTGAAGTTCTGACCCTTCCACACAAATACACTTCAAAAATCGTCAACATGGGAAGAATCTTGCTTGGAAATCCATCAATTCTCATTGAGCGGTTCACGTCTACGGAGTCTAAGCCAAAGTTTTGGCAAGGCTATGAAAGGCTGCACTTCTCCCTGAGCAACCCACCTACCACCCACCACGGACGTTGTGCTCATCACGAAGGCCTACCGAAATCAACAGGAGTACATGCCAACTTCAAACAAACAAAGTCAGCTGAGAACAGGTAGGTGAAATTAGTTCAAGCATGTTCAAACTATAAATCACATGGGTACTGTATGGATCAAAATTCAAAGTGAGCAAAGGACAGCATTTGACCGCGTTGAGAACGAAATCATCCAATTTTTTGGGACCAAATTTGAACCCATGCCCACATGGCACATCAACATACATCAATCCCATTTGCCAAGTTCTCAACACCAGTCAACGTCAAAACTCTGCCCAAACCTTGACCTGGACTGGACAGAAGAATTGCATATCGCACGCAAATTCATACATGTCGACCCGTGCTGTGATGTGTTTGCCTTCCGGCCATAAAACTCCTTCACAGGGAAGTTGTGTTCGACGTAGACCACAAGCCTCTCACTCTGGTTGGGGCAAGTTTTGCAGCACACAATGAAGGGACTGTCGAAAGGGTGTGAAGCATTGCAAGTTCGCCTGGTTCCAGCTTTGATGTCCGCATCCACCTCGACCAAAGGCAGATTGCGTTGGATCTTGTCGCATCGCCGACATTAGTCTACTTCTATCACTGAGTCCTGGCACTTTTCCCCATGCTTTCCGAAAAGTTGGAAGAGCTGCGGTGCGCATCCACCTCGTGCTCCCAGTGCTAGAAATACAATTCAGATTTGAAATCAAGTGCGGAATCACACTCAAACAATCATGTCAACTGGCAGTCCATAATTCTTGAAGGTTGCAAATCCAATGTGCATCAATGTACTGCCATTTTCTGAAAGTTCCTGACACCAGGAAGTGACCACTGGTAAGACCCCAGTCCTGCCAACCAGCAGTTGGATCTGGCTGACCTATAATATTTCCTACATCGTTGGGTCGTTTTTTTTAATTTCAAAATTGAAACAAGGTTCACGTCGCCAGAAATATTGAATTATGTTCTAAGTCGTGCAAGGTAGATACATAGATACTTGATAGATAGATAGATAGATTAGATTAGATTAGATTAGATCAGATCAGATCAGATCAGATTAGATTAGATTAGATTAGATTAGATAGATAGATAGATGGATGGATAGATAGATAGATAGGTAGATAGATAGATAGACAGATAGATAGATAGATAGACCGATACTGTAGATAGATAGACCGATACTGTAGATAGATAGACAGATAGATAGACAGATAGATAGATAGATAGATAGATGAATAGACAGGTAGATAGATAGATATAAGTAGAATTGCTAAAATATTGCACTTTCCAAACTATCCCAAGAATGAAAAACTGATGAGAGGGTGAAGTGTTCAGACTTGGTGGTAGAGCCGTTCTTTTTGTGGGTCTATTACTGCTAGCTTACCATACTTCTCTTCTACCTCTCGAGTTGCTTGGAAAAACCACGTCAGCCAGTCCTGTCCAACAGCAGCGAGGAATCAATGTTGAGCGCAATTCAAAACCCTTAATTCAATGGCGTAGGCCGATTTCTGAGGTGACGTCGGGTGACGTTAGAATTCGGGCAGTTGGATGTTTCTTCAAATAGTTTTTCTGATGTTGTTGGGATTGAAGTGACTGTGAGTGGGATTGACATTCAACATGACATTAAACCGTGCGTTTGAATGTTTCAATGCTGTACCCTCTGCCATCTACCTTACTCGATAAGGTGGCATTTTTTTTTGAATATTTTTGGTTTGGAAATGGTGTCTTCAACATTAAAAACCTTTGCAATGATTACTATGGCCGCTATTAAGAAAACCTTTGGACTGAAAAAACATCATAAGACGTGCTGCTGTTGCCCTTTTCAACACTGGCATTTTTTCCTTATACAAATGTTGGTTTGACGGTGATTAGATAAATTGGATTTGGCTGAAATGGTGCGTCCACAGTCGGGACATTTGAAAAGCCTTGAGAGTTTCTTTGGCGATATTTTTGGAAAAAAACGTCAGGGTCTAACAGTTTGCTGTGATCAGTGAGGTCAGCTATCCGTCGTCCTTTTAAGGCCGATCGGAGTGGTTCTACCAGGTCCCATCTTGTAGAGGTCTGGATTGGGGCATCTTGGACTGATGGTTGAAGGAATGTTTCAACCATTTCGTCAAAGATGTCCTCATCCATTTATTGTTCCTTTCCATGAATTAATTACCGTATAGCAGTGTATATCAGTTCTAAATTGCATAAGGTGTCATTTCTTTAAGTGTTTTTGTTGTCTGGCATTGGAAAAAACACTCATATATAATAGAAAATACGATGTCCAGAGGCCAGACCTATTTTTGGATATCATATGTTCCTGTTCCTGGTCACTTAAGTGTTGTTGGGGAAACTGATGGTTGAGGTCAATGGGAAGCACTCAAACACGCATTGGGCGGTACCACATGGCGTTGTTTAGCTTGACGACTCAGGTAGAAGTTGCTAAATTTCGCGTGGTCGTATCTGGAAAAACTGGATCTGTACATGTCTGCAACACTGCCAATTACAGTGCTGCGTCTGTCTACATCTTGGGGCGCTATTCGAAGGATTTTCTTCAGACTGCATAACTGGAATGCGTCAATTTGGGATAGCATTGCTTCGGAGAGCAATGACAGTTTCTAAACCGTAAAGGAGCTTGTATCTGATACAGTAGCAAACTCTACCCACAGCCTCGAATTCCACCTTCACCAACGCGCTGCAGAGGGTGATGGTTTCCAGAAATAAAAATACCACCAGAAGGCAAAGACCCTCACCAACATCAAATCATTTGCAACATTAGACAAGAAATAGTAACAACCTAACTACTGAACCCTTCACCCCTACTCCTCAGAATCCCCATGTTTTTCACATGTTTTTCTGGGTCGTTTTGTTTGGCTCCTCCACGATTTTCTTCTCGTAGCTTGGCGCAGAGCATTCAAAGCTCTGCCCGCTCTGCCCGGCCATGGTGAAGTTGCAGCTTGGGCTACCTGCAGTGCCATCAAACATCGGGGATGTATCACCAAGCAAAATAGGGATATTCAAGAATTGCTGGTGGCTGGGTTTAAAGCGACTCCCCTTAAAGTATGAAAGTCAAGTGGGCATCATCATCATCATCATCATCATCATCATCATCATCATCATCATCATCATCATCATCATCATCATCATCATCATCATCCCAGGAAACAATGAAAATGAGGAATATGTTTGAAATTTGAAACCACCCAGAAAATCGGAATCAATATCTCCTAGAAGCGGATGAAAGTATCCTAGAAGCGGAGAACTTGGGGAGTCTGGCTGTTGCCCTTGGATTCGCAGTAGCTGAGCTCGGTCTCTGGAGCCCGGACTTCCCGTGTAGCCAGTACAGTCTGGGACTTCCCTTGGGGGCCTCAGATAAGCTGCATCCCAGGGGCCCACAGCTGTGCTTCGCTTGTGCTGAGGCTTGGGGTCTGGCCCATCTGTGTTGTCCATCCTGTGTAAGTGACACGGCACAAAGACTGCAACGACGGAATGGAAATGATTTTGCACAACTTGTGAAGCTTTCAGGGATATCTGGAGGCAACAGGCAGCAAACAATGGAAAAAAATGTGCCTTGTGGCCACCTTTACTGGCACCAAAGGATTGCTTGGCCCAAGCATCACCTGGCAGATTTGGTGGCCACACCCAGCAGCCATTGTTGTTTTCTTGCGGTCGGATATGGTTAAATTACAATCAGATTGGAATGGTGGGTCATCTCGTAGGGGGGATCATCAGATTAGGGATATCCTGCAACATCCCCCAACTATTTGTATGAGAGGTGTGGAGGATGATACCAGTATCCGCTTCCCTGATGCTTTACATCTCTTACCACTGATCTTCACACCATCATTTGCCGCAACCTTGAAACTGGCCTGCTGACACGTCACCGGCGGAAAATAACTAAGCAGCCACATATTCAATGTGTGCCTCAGGTCCAAAATGAACATTAAATGGGTATCTCGGCATCTCTGAAAATGGAGGTATACCACCAAAATGACATTTAGATACAGAAAAGTTGATGATGAGAAACTGGATTCTGAGGTACCCTATTTCAAACAAAGCCATATTCCTTGGCCTTCATAGTCCAGTTGAACATGAAACAGATCAACTTTCACTACACCTCCATGGCGTCCCTTTGAGCTTCAAGCTGATTCTGCAGGCTTGGATTTTGCCAGCTTGGTGCCTGGTGGCGGTACGCCCATAGGCCCGACAAATAAAGTGCCGAAAACAACGTATGGGACATGTTTCATCATTTTAATGGCGAAATATTCGCATTCAAAATCATACAAACAAGAAAACCACTGTCCATTTCCATCCATGTCCATCCATTTCCATCAATTTCCATCTATTTAACTATCCATGTCCATTTCTATTTCCTCCAACCACATCCCACATCCCAAGTTAGATTCCCAACCCATAACCCGATGGCGTTTTTTCTATCATCGCTTCATCAGATCCCTCCGAAGCGTCCTCGGGATCCAAATTCACAAAGCGCTTCAGATCGCCCGTCCAGGCAATCGATGGCGCTCTGCTATCCACCTGCGAAAAAAAGCTGGGCCAACAGCTGGATCTGTGGATTCGAAGTGATGGACTTCCATGGAGAAGTTCTGAGTTGCGGCACCTTTGCGTAAGATTAGAGTAGCCGGGTAAACATCAAACACTATGAAAGAACGATCTTCTCTTACAGAACCGAGACTCAAGAAAAATGCTGAATAATGGATTTGAATGAAGCGATTCACTATTATATATATATATATATATGTATACATAAATATATACATATCATATAGACATACAGTATCATACCATACAGTACATATTATACGTGTCTTCATGTCTTCACCAAATGCCATGATGGCATACCGTTTGCCATTCCAGCTGACCCAGGGGCCTCCAAGCGACTGAAACTGCCATCAGGGCTTTCATGCGCTACGTGAAAGGTATCGTTGAATACCTCAGAAAAGATTGGAAAAGAACATGCAAAGAGATCTCCCACGTTGTACGATGTTCAAAACGACCTGGCAACCAAATTTGGCTGTGACGTATTAAGACGTATGTTGGACCAACAGGATAGTAAAAATGGCAGGACTCACAGCATGGACATGCATGGACGGCCCGAGGAAACTCAGGCAGGAACCGTGGATGCAACTAAGCCGCAAGGGTAGTCAGTGCCTGCAGTCTGGTCATCTAGTATACAACACGCAAACCTCAGTGCGAACTCAAGCTAAACCTACTTCAATGACCTTAACTTGACAAGTTCTTGAAAACTGACAAGTTCCTGTGGTCTTTCAAGATCAATTCAATTCGATCCTTTGAATTGTCCATGTTCCCATGATCGGTCCACGCAGCACCTCGGCCAGCGGTTTCAATCTTTGGATGACAGGCCTGCGTGTCAGCGATTTTGAATGAAACAAGAACAGTCCTCTTCTTGTTCTTCTTGTTGTTGTTGTTGTTGTTCTTGTTGTTGTTGTTGTAGAAAGTGCAAAAGATTACCAACGTATATCTTGCTAATTGAAAGAATGAGCTGCTTGACGTGCAAAGCTCGTACGAGTCCTGGCAAAAAGAAAACATGTGACTGGACCTGTGGCTTTTGACTTCTTGCGTAGTCAGGGCTCATGAGCTGAGAATCGTCCTTGGTGTTAGCCCCGGCAGCTGCCCGTCGCAAAATAGTAGGCCCTGATGATGCCCTGATGTTATGTAATTGAATGCAATAGCACGCAATTCTACAGCAGCCATGTTCTGTGAAAATAATCAGTCTTGACTACTTTCTTGTGGCTACCCTACACTGCACAGCGCAACATTTTTGTTGACAACTGCTGTGAAAGCTCAACGGCCTCCTGCTCATTGGAAGGTGCCAAGCAGTCTTATCAGTATCAATAATCTCACAATATCCTGGCAATATATCTATATAAAATCTAGCACTATGGGATCACCATTTGCAAATCTAAATCTAATCCTCATTTCTACTAGTAGCCAGCTCAGACTTGAAGCATGAACCCTTGAGGTCAGCACCCTACTATCGACGTACAACCGGTGATTTTGGTGGAATCCAGACAATTCGTAGAAAACCTGACAGCGACACATTGAGACAGGTCTTGGAAGACCAATTGCAACATGTTGAAATTCATGGATATGGGTCAAAATCGGGTCTCTGGATAAATAATGGGATACGCCTTTACCCATATGAACATACATATAGATACATATAGGCTATAGGTATTGTACAACCGGATAAAAAAATGGCTAAGATTAAGGGGATGATCGGTATATAATGTATATAATTTGATCACTCGGGATACTCCTTCGGAACGCCCGGAACTTGAATCGGAAGAGGACTGACCACAGCTGAGACAAAGGCCCAGATTGGTTTCTCCATGTCTCGGTCCACAGTTATCTCGAAGGAAACTGACAGGGCCAGGTCCGGTAAAATGTAGAAATAACAGTTAAATAACAGTTAAATAACATGAAATAGCTCTAGATAGCTCTAGTCTCCAAATCTATCTGGCAGCTCCGGCAAACACACAACGGCAACAGCCAAAAATGAAGAGAAGAGACACGAGGGAGACAATGTGCATTGCTAGGATGGCAAAACATGAAGCTGCGAAATGAGTTGAGCGTGAGCAAAGTTTGTCTTGCACACTGCACACCTACACCATTCTGATCAACTATCTCATCGGTGTAGTCGTGGCGCAATTCCACAACCGCCTTTCAAGCATGTTCAAGCACAATTCACAATATCACCACATGAATGTTCAAGCAACCCTGCTGAAGCACATCTGTGTCTGAAACATCATCTGCTGAATCTCACAATCTAGCCCAAATTCTGCGAAAATAAGGCAGCTCCAGCCTGATAGGTGAAGTGTAGCACTACCCCTATCCTTAGCAGAAAGTTCTGAATACTGTTGCCAACTACCACGGGATATTGTTAGTCTATCACCAGCTTCAGCAATGGCCAAAATGTCTGAGCCTTCGACAGCAAAAACGCGCAGCCTACAGTTACATAGATCGTCAAGATGACTCCTGCAAGGACTTTATGTGGTTTCCACGCATCACTTGATTGTTTTGTGACCCAGAAACACCACCGCCCAATGAAGGGACCACATAAATCCACATATGACAAGATGTTTCCATCATAAATTCACTAGCTCCGAAAGCTGAAGCACTGGTCTCCTGGCGAAGGTATTGGTTGTGTGGATCTCAACCGTCTTTGGATCCACCGCTTTAGCCTGAGGGAGCTATTTGGCCTGGCACAGCATGGCAGCACTCGCACTTCATGGCTCAGATCACATCACAGGAACTCCTCTCCACACTGGATCGCTTGTAAACTCGGGGTGACACCTTCGCCCTACTCTTTTTGACCGCATCTTTGGCGCATGTGCTCCACTGGTCAGGAAATGTCAAATATGTCAAAATATGTCAAAATCGAAACAGCTGCACCAAACGCAACTCTGGCGCTAGAGCCACTGCAGCGATATCTTCGCTCATGCTTGCCAGTAGCTTCTGGCCTTCAGTCTTGATACGCATGCTTTCTGGAAACTGTTCAATGGCATTCAATATCATTGAGACACCGCTAACCGCTGCGAGCCTTGCTTTGTTTGGTTGGCTCTGAAAAAGATTCAACAAAGCCCGGCATCCTTCCAACTGCATCTTACCAGTATCACGAGCAGCCATTGCTGCTGCCAGTGTTTCGCACGCATCAAGAGCGGTGGCCTTGGCCACATCAGTTGCACTCAGCTTTGACAAAAACATGGCTCCATTCAGTGCAATGGCTTCCTCTTTGGATCGCTTCATCGCCCACAAAATTAGACGAATGGCACGGAGCGAATGCTTTTGACAAGGGTACAAATTGGAGAGCGCAAAACTGCAGCTGGAGAGCCCTTTGTCAAGCTTTGACTCGTTACATCCGAGATTTTCATCTTCATCCTTCAAAGCTTCCATGTATCTCACAATGACACGAACAACTCCGTTGCTGAAGAGCCATTCTTGCCAGGAATCCGACTGCTGTGCGAGATGTCCGAAAGCGATACAATAATTGTTCATCACAGAATATCTGACTTGATCACGTTCCAAGGCTCCCAGAATGTTCTCAACATGCAGCTCCATCACCTGTTCAGCAGCCTCCTTGCAAACAATCTTCCAAGCCTTTGACAAGGTGATTCTGAGCAAGCCACCGCGGCTGTGTGGATCGTGTCCCTGGAAGTGGTGAAGCGTCTTGCAGATTTTCTTGAGACCTTTGTGCTTCAGGAATTCGTCCACGCAATCTCCACGTTCCAAGCGCTTGACAATGCCGTGCCAAACCACGTTCAATAGCTGGGGCTTTGACTGTGACAGACAGCTTGCTGCTTTCATGAGGGCGGCAAGAAGCATCCCATCTGCATCATCCTCAGACGGCACATGTTGAATGAGGCAGCCCAAGGCTTTCAGCCCAACTTCTTGAAGACGTGAGGACGGGTTCTGCATTGCCTGCAGGACTGCATGAACAGTTTCAACAGAGAAGAGCCAGAAGTCATGGCGCCGTTGCAGTCGGTGAATCGCCAGAATAGCATATTTTTGCACATCCTCCTGAGGACATGCCTGCAAGGCATCGACCAACAGGAAACAACATTTCTGTAACAGGGCATGGTTCAATGGAAGATCTAATGCCCACAGCAGAGCACAGCAGGATTTTTGCACCTGTGGACTGTCCGGATATCGCTCCATCAGTGTCACCACTTGCCCCAGAACCCCACGGTCAATGAGTTCTGGGCTCCACTTGTCTTCTCGATTTTCACCAAATATCTGAACATTTGTGAGGTTCTCCGCAACCCGGGACCAGCCAATACTCCCGCCCTTTTTTTGTCTCCACCCAACCACACGGTCCTTCCCAATGCAGAGCTGCAAGGTCGTCAAGAGCTCTTGGGCCATGCGCAAAGAGTGTCCCATAGTGGATCCCAAAAACAGAATACGATCGCCGTCAGGGGCATCTTTCGCTGCTTCTGCTGACAGCCGTGTGACATCCCACTTCCTCATGTCATCTTTGAAGCGTGCGGCACATTTCTGCATCTGAGATTTGAGATGGTGCAATGAACTGGAAGCGGCATGAAGAAAGTGCCAATCATATGGACTCTCCAGCAAATCTGAGAGCCATTGAATTAAAGGTGCTAGAGCACCTTAGCTGTGCCGAAGATGACAGTCGCAAAAAAAACACAGACATGTATATATATTTATATATAATTATGTTGCCAGTAGACATTATTGCTACGTTTTCGGCACGAAATTAGGTGGTGTTTTGCCGCTGCGGATGCGTCACAAAGCCATGCAGCTTGTGCTGGGCAGGCTCGCTGGCCGCAAGATGTGGCAAACAGGCGTAAAAAGCTGAAAAGTCTCAACAGTCTCAATTTTAGTAGGGTTTCAGAAGGGGCGTTAGGCGGTTTTTTGGGGCTCCTTTGCTAAGTGGTGGTTTGCTGTTGCGGATGCGTCACTAAGCCATGCAGCTTGTGCCGGCCGGGGCAGGGGCGGCAGCCCTTAAATTCGGCTCCGCCGGCTCCCCACGAGTGCGCTGACAAATGCGCTACGAGCGTCCCAGAGCGACTAGAACTCTATGGTGAGGCACGCGCAAGCCGCCAACCCTCCGATCCCGGGCCCCGAAAATCCTTCACTCTGCTGGGGGAGAGCTTTTGGGACGGAATCAGGGTCGCTCATAAGCGTCTCCAAGAGCATTCCCCCGTCCCCCGCCGTTTTGAGGGTACCTAAAATCGGGAAAAAGTGCGGTTTTGACACATTTTCGGACGATTTTTAGCTTTTCGAAACTAACAAAATGCTGTTTGGCGGGGTGATCGCAAAAAATGCTAGTCTTTACAAAGTTTTTGCAATTTCGGAAGGCGCGAAACACTGTAAATAGCAGTGTTTTGGCCACTTTTGGACGTCGAAACGCTAGTATTTACGCAGTTTTTTTGCCCGTGACGGAGCCAAACCCTTGTAAATTATAGCATTATTTTTTGCACTTTTTGAACCAATTTTTTGTCTTGCTGAACGCAAAAAAAGTTGGTATTTACCCGATTCTAAAAAAATCGAAGGTCATGACGTGAGTAAATAACAGTGTTTTAATCACTTTTGGGGACTAAAACTGTGGTATTTACGCGGGTTCTTGCCATCTGACAGCGCAAAATGCTGTAAATTACTGCACGTTGTGCGCTGTTTATGTTAAATTTTTGAACGCACGATGCTTTCACATGTTCTTTGAATTCTTCCACAACAAACAAGGTTGCAGATTGAAACTGGACCACAGCGTGACCCGAAAGAAAGCTGGAGGGAGGAGACGCACAGAAGCTTTTACACACACAGGGGCTTTCACACAGAGAAGTCTTTACACGAAGGAGCTTTTTACACACAGAAGTTTTTACACGAAGAAGCCTTTACACAGAGGAGTTTTTTACACGCACAAGGTTTTACACAGAGAAATCTTTACACAGACGCACTTTCACACAGAGAAGCTTTCACACACACAGAAGGAAGCTTTTACACAAAGAAGTCTTTACACAGTGAAAATTTTACACACAGAAACTTTTACACGCAAAAGCTTTTACACAGAGAAGTCTTTGCACAGAGGCACCTTTACACGAAGTAACAAGTTGAAATTGGCAGCAGTTCTTTAGGAAAAGCCCTTGGCAGGAGCTTTCGGGAACTCACTTGCTCCCAAAAAAAGCATCTATTTCCAACAAATATGATCAAATATGTTCCAAAAAACCTAAGGAATATATTTCTGAAGCAGGTCCTCATTCAATAGCTTTCAAGCCCACACTGCGATGAAATGGAGGGTCGAGTAATCCGGCGGAACCGACGATGAGCGTCAGCTCAAAAATAATTCTATTGCCAGTAGACATTAGTAATCATTAGTAGACTCTCCAAATGAAAATTGTAGATTAGTACATCCAAGGTACATCCCGGCTTCAACAGGGTTTGAATGGGACACACAGCAGAATCAGTGGTAAGATCGACCTTCGCCCGCTTCCAACGGAATTCAGGCATAGCTCGACCCGAAGAGGGAAGTTCAGGTTCCAGCCTCTGTGAAAACAGGGTTTTTGATACATGATGATAATACAATATATTGAAACATTATGAAACATTATGATATACTATGAAATATTACAGTATGGTATATTATGATATCTTGATTATGATATATTATGATGTATTATGATATATTATGATGCATCATGATATAATATGATATAATGGTTATAGATGAGTTTGGATTTACACAGGTTCCAAAGCCTGTGCTTGTCAGGTCAGAACCGAAATGGAACAGAAACACCTCGGAGCTCGGCGATCAGAGGCTGCGGCCAGACATTAGGTTTGCCCAGAAGTAATGGGCCCAAAATTGTGCTGTCAATGCTACAGCTTCTATATCCTTGCTTTCCAAAGAGATAGACTCAGATAGCCTTTGCTAGTGATGTGGATGTCCCAATGATTTTCCGGTCATTTGGCTGTTTGATCGATTTGGTGACCATGATACTGTACAAGTGGACGACTCAGCTAGGCCCAGAATAGATCAGAAAACCAGTTCTGACCCGGGAAAGCCAAGCCAGCAGGACCCGAAACAGCGGCAACCTCTGTCCTGCGAAATCGGAAACTGAAGCTGAGGGATGCCCAGATTTTGCTGCACATGTTCGTGTGTTTCTATGGCTGCATTAACTCTCCTGGAATGATTACTCCGTTTTTGAATTGATAGGCCAGTTCGTATCTAGCCATCAGATGCCACCGGAAGAAACCCAGAACTGCTCCCCTTTGGAGGCGTCAAAAATCTCTGACTTGGCAAAGATCAAGCTTGCTGGATGTCCACTGCAGATTTCATGTCATAGTCCAAAGTCGTCCGTTCGAACTTTCTGAAATATTTGAAAGATATAGATGCAAGTATACAGATGTATACAGAATGCATTGCAAAAGTATGCAGAAGTAGACTGGGATTGTTGAAGTTTGAAATAGTTTGAACCCCTGCTGTTCTACCATGGCAATTCTCCGTCCTGATGACGTGACTCGTGTGACTCCATTGCCAGAAACTCAGCGGAATGGCTCCAGGGCTTGACTCCAAGGCTCAGTGTCAATCGCAGAGATCTGCAAATATCTGCAACAAACATGGATATGGAGGTTTCCTAACATGTGGGTATCCCGAAACCATGGGTTTCAATCGTAAATTATACATAATTATACTAAAATATACTATATAAAATTGTCTAATGACTTGGATGATTTGGGGGTACCCACATTAAATGAAACCTCCATATGATCAAATAGTACAAATAGGAACAGAACAAGCCATGTCTGCCTCAGCGAGCTAAAAGCAGCCAGGTTCCATGGAGCCAAAGTTCGAGCCACAAGACATAACCCCCAGGCGTTTCTGTTGACAGATGCTGCCAGTAACATAGTTCAATGTGCGGATTTAAAGGAATCCAAAAATGTGTACAACTGCGTATGACTCATCATGAGTTTGAATGGTTCGCCGTTCTAGTTGAATTGACAATCCGAATGGTCGGACGGAGTCCAGTCCAATGTCTAATTCACCACGCAATCTACAGTGGTTCCATATGCTTCCTAGATCCCAAGCCCTCCATCATACGAACCCATTTTCCTTCCTACCGCAAGCTTTTCGCAAGTTTAAATCCGATTCAATGGACTCTGCCTCAGCTTGGCACCATTGCATCCAAGAATGTCACGCTATGTCACGCTTGCATCTTGATGGCATTCAACATCATCCACAGCCAGATACCCAGGGAGTCACTGTGCAACGCATCGTCTTTTGCAGCACCGTTTCAGCTGCACGTTGCACCGTTTCCAGTTTCTTCAGCGACGACCAGATTTGGTTTTGCCAGGAAGACCTAGGCCAGCCAGTGGCTCCCGCTTGGCCTCACCGTGGCGCGTTGCGGAATTTTGCATGTTTTTTTTCTAGCATGAAACTTGTACTTGATATGTGTTACCCTCTGGTAAATAAACATAGACCCTGAGAATGACTCATTTATAGTGGAAACTAGTCTTCCAACCCCTATCTGGCAGGGTCTATGTTAATTTACTAGAGGGTAATACCATTGAATACCTGTAGGGAAAGACCCGACCTCGGTGTGACCCCGTGCTTGAGCCAGCTTCCGCTCCTGCCGACGCCGAGCCTCAGAGGTCATTGCAAGAAACATTTTGAGCAAAGTGCCAATACACTCCCATTCTATAGGGTCCTGACCATGTGTCATTGTACATAATGTACATACTAACATAGCAGGTGTAAGTATAAATGTATATCTATAATATAACACAATATAATATAATATAATATAATATAATATAGTATAGTATAGTATAGTATATTAAAATATAATGCAATACAAACAAAATAAAAATATAATATATAATATATTGTATATAATATATAATATATTATATAAACTATATAATATATAATATATTGTATATAATATATAATATATTATATAAACTATATAATATATAATATATCATATATAATATATAATATATTATATATAATATATATAATATGATATATGATATATTATATATTATATATTATATAATATATATTATATAATATATAGTCTATAACATATAATCTATAATCTATAATATATAATATATAATATATGATATATATAATCTATAATCTATAATCTATAATCTACAATATATAATATATAATATAATGTATATATATATAATAATATAATGTATATATATATAATATAATATAATATAATATAATATAATATAATAAATTATAATATAATATATAATATATAATATAAAATATATAATATATAATATATAATATATATATAATATAATATAATCTATAATATAAAAAAATAAAATATATAATATATAATATATATAATATAATATATTATATATAATATATAATATATAATATATAATATATTGTATATTGTAAATAATATATAATATATAATATATTATATATAATATATAATATATATAGTATATAATATATTTTATAATTTATATCATATATTATCTATAAATTATAATTTTTGATATAATGTATATATATAATATAATATATATATATCATTGTTATATATCATTATTATCATCATCATTGTCATTATTTTACGTATATATATATAGTATATGTACATACATACATTATGTAGTATAACATGATATCTTTGACATCATCAACTTCAACACTGCCAATAGCCCTTCATGCTCCAGGATCAGCCCGCAACATCAAGCCCGCCTGCCTTCTCAGAGGATGGCAGCAGGAACACGAGTAGGAAAAGCAGCGCGAAGATTAAGATCACCTCACCCGCAAAGCGTTTTGTAGGGACATCATTGAATCATGGGGGTAAAACATTTATATACAGTGGATGTGTCACCAATTATAGTTGGTTCATGGGTAAAAAAACAACCATAGATGAGGATAAAATAGGGACTCATACATATGTAACATCTATATTTATCATCGACCCTCTGGCAAGCCAACATGTGCATGGAAATCCACACTTTTTGCACATGTGTATCGAAAACAACATGTTGTTATCTCCCTTTTTCCCTTTTCACGAAGAAAACCAGATTGGAAAAAGTTAGTAATGAGGCGCGCAACAACTCATTGAAAGGTGGGTTTTCATTTCATTTGTAGATATACAAACTGATCGTTCATACAATGTTGCGCCCATTCGAGCAAAATACCATTCACACAAAAGCAGCATGAAACCAGGTTTCTTTTAGATCATGAATGATGGATGCATACAATTTTGTGTACGTGTATATTTTATATATATGGTGTGTATATATAATATATTATATATATATATCCATGTATATATCAGCATCACCACCACCACCATCACCCCCCCACCACCACCATCACCATCACCACCACCACCACCACCACCATCACCACCACCACCACCACCACCATCACCACCACCACCATAACCACCACCACCACCATCACCACCATCACCATCACCATCACCATCGTCATCGTCATCGTCATCGTCATCGTCGTCATCATCATCATCATCATCATCAAGCAAGCAAGCAAGCAAGCAAGCAAGCAAGCAATCAATCAATCAATCAATCAATCATCATCAATCATCATTAGCATGCATGAATATACATAGCATAGGAACATACTATTGCAGAATATAATTACCTTGTCATTGTCATTGTTGGTGCACATCCTCCCCATTGTTTCACAAATCCCCCGTGCCACAGCACATTTACCAATCCCAGTTTCACCAGTTTCACCAGTTTCACCAGTTTCACCAGTTTCACCAGTTTCACCAGTTTCACCAGTTTCACCAGTTTCACCAGTTTCACCAGTTTCACCAGTTTCACCAGTTTCACCAGTTTCACCAGCCCCCAGCAGCCCAGCAGCCCAGCAGCCAAGCAACTAGCCACAGCCTCTTCTCCAATGCATCACGCAGAGCCAGCTTGCGAAAGACCCCTGCAGAACCCCATGGCATCGCAGCGATGCGGTGGCTTCACACAAAAGGATGGTTCGACTGGTTCGACTCAAGAATAAACAGATTCTGGATGATTCTGGTGGCTCAAGTGGCTCAAACAAAGTGACAAACTAATCACTTCGTAAGCGCAAACTCTTCTAACAGGGTCGGCTCCCTGCTACTCGCAATTTCATTGTGTTGGGATCATCAACTTGGAACCGGCCATTGCTGGATCTCAAGATTGAGAAGGAAGCAAAAAGAGTGAAAAACCGCGGACGAACATGCACAACAAGTGCTAGATATTCACTGAAGTGAACTCATCTCGTTTACACTCAGCATTACCACTTCTATGTTCCATGATCTCCCTCATACATTCACTTGATTTCAGTTGACATTCTCTTCCAACTAGTTGACTCGTCAGCTAAAGTAGCTGACGTCGACATCGGTCGCAACTGCACATTCTTTTCAGCCCAAAAATGAGCCACGCATGAGCAGCTGGAGCGTGGACTGCAGCCGACGATCACCGTGATTCCAGATCTGCCCTCTGTGATTTTGGGGACTCAACTGACGATTCACGAAGGATCAAGAAATCCCAAGACAGGGGCAGATCTCCACTCCAAGAGTCACCGAGGAACATCCCCGTCTTGGGAATGCCTCGGCTTGAGAAAGTCTTATACGATCTTTTACTGATTGGTATTGTGTGATTATGTTTGTGGTTTGAAATGGCTACGATCATCTGCAATCATAAATAACATGACCCCTTCTTTGCTTTGGCTACGTTGCTACATCTGGAAGCAACAGCAGGTGTTGAAATTTGTTCAACCTATTTCGCTATGTTGTGGTGTCACCACTGGCTGTAGAATCGCCTATGCAAGAACTCATGGCGTCAGCATTGCTGAGTTTGCAAGCCTGCCAAAGTCTGCCAAAGTGAAGGCCACCTGAAGGTTCAAGAAAAATGTTGTTTGATGCCAAAATAATCCCCTGCCATTTTGCATCAACATCAGCATGTGTCCGAAAGCACTTGCTAGAATATGAAGTTGAGTTTGAAAAGGTGAATCCTTAGGCTGTGAATGGTCCCTTTTCTGCACTGATTTGGTCGCTGAAAAATCTGTGCCAATATCCCCGTATCATCGTATCATGGTTTGCTACGGATTGTACAAACACAAAAGATTTGTGATATCATGACTCTTGTCGTTTACCAAACAAATGTTCGTGTTTATGTTCCTTTGACCATCCAAAAAAGTGTTGGGTTTTGCTGCTCCAACGGATCTCGCCTCTATCGCTTCTACACATGGTAGTGAGGTCGAACTCCTAAGCGTTTCACCAGCACATGATGTGTCTGTCAGCTGATGTCAATTGATGTCAACCGCAAATCAAGGAACGTGGTCACCACATGCCACCACTGGGGCTCAAACCAAATGAAGGCAAAGGCCGTGCCATTTGAGTTGGTCTCACCTGACAGAAAGGCCTAGCGTGTCGACCTTTTTTGTCCCTGCTGTCCTAATGATTTTGCCTGCATGGAGTGCGAGGACGGGGCCAAATGCGCGGTCCTCAGCTGCAGAACACACAAATGCCCCAGGCAAAGATCCCTGAGCCATTGCACTGGCAGTGGAGCCTCCTATGATTTCTGATATTCCTTGTCATTGATCTAGTGAAATTAGTGGGCTCCATTGTCTTGACATCGGTGGGACCGCCCCGGATCCAGCCGACTGTCTCAAATGCTACGACAGTGGGCCCAAAAAATCCTCCCCCTCCGTCAGGGTGGTTGGAACCGGCTCAAAATGGCAAATAATTTCGCCGCCAAGACAGCTTTTGAGATTGTAAAATTTGGCAAGGCAAATTTCGCTTGCAGCAGCCCACCAACACCCCACTCCTACTGTCTTGACATGCACGGGCGTTCAAAAATGAGCCGCCTGCCTCCAAGAGCCCGACCACCCGTGACCACCCCGAAAGAAATTCAGGCCCCCCTTCCATTTTACCTTGGCTTCCCCAGTTGTGCCCAACACTCCCCAAAGCTCCCACCCAAAATTGCAAATGTTCTTTTGCCTGTCATTTCGATCCATTTATTCGCGCAGAAATGTGCAGAACCATCGTTTTTCTCGTTTTTTCCTGTGGTTTTCAATGTTTTGCCCCCGCGAAAGCAAGTTTTTGGCGGCCCGTCCTGCCTTTATCATTGGACCTCATCACCTCATCAATTTCCAAACCTAGTTCGTGATTTTGTCATTGGACTTCATCGGTTTTCCATGGTTTTCCCATTTATCTCCATCCTGTTGACATGTTGGGCACCCATTCGCTTGCAGCAACCCACTGAACACCCCAGTCTGGGCTACCGCTCCCAGGAGGCCGCGTAAAAAAAAATGCAAATTTTTTGGGTGTCAATTTGTACTACAGAATTTTCACTGTTTTGAAGGAAAACCTATGAAAACCTCAAATTCATACTGAGGGATCGAAATCCGAAATTAACATTCGGATTTGGGATGGTTTGGAAAAACATCAAAGTTCCATTGTCTTGACATTTATGGAATTTGGGGATTTGTGGGTTTTGTGGCACCGTTTTGCTTCCAGGAATCCTATTGGCCTTAAGAAATGACGGCAACCCCAGCACTGTCTTGACAGCTATGCACAGCCCCCCTCCAGGAGGGCAGTCAAGACGATGGAGCCCACTATAAAATTGTTTATTGGTTTTAAGCGAAATGATGTTAATTACTATAGTCTCATGGACTATGAAACCCGGCTGATCAATTAGGTGCACATACAGTACGAGTAGCAGCCCAATAAGTGCCAACTTGTCCTTGGAATGGGACCATGTACACTCGGGTATGCCGAGTACGCCTCTAAATCCATAGATGGATGTAAGTGGAACCACCAGAAAAGAGGGGATTAGCCACATCTCAAGCTCACCTGCTGAAACAACAATCTCCTCCCATACACTCAGGTCAGAGCTGCTCAGGCATCGAGCGTCGTTGACCTGGGCTTGGGGTCTTGAAACACCAGGAATCTCTGTGTCCGACCTGAAACCGGAAAGGAAGTGGAAAATGACCAGCTGGCAAGTGAATTTCGACCATGTCTTCAAGTGATTGGGATGAATTGAAATGTGGGTAGCTGTCTATTGAAGAAAGAGATCCTGATTTGCAACTGCTTCACCCCGCATTCAGAAACAAGGATTTTGGGAACCGACAGGACACACAAAAAATCGTCGCCGCCATTGAGCATCCGACATCTCATGGGAACCATTTGTGACGGGGAAGGTGCCATCTTAGCATGTGGGTCAGGTCATGGGTCAACTTGCTGGATCCCAGCTGGTTTTAGGTGATCTAGCAGGATCTGGCATCACAGTTTCCAAATTCCAGGAATGATACCAGGAATGATATGGAATGATGGGATCGGGTCCTAGGTAGGATTGTGACCTGCAGTGATGAAGGTCCATAAACACACGATATGCCGACTTGACTCACCTGCTGATGGTCCAAGTGTTTGAGATCTGAACCCCGAGACCGTTGAAGTATGGCCTCGGTCTGTGCCAAATGGGTTCTTTGCATGACATGGATTGATTAGAAAGGTTTTGGATGGTTTTGGATGGTTTTGGATGGTCTTTGGATGGTCTTTGGATGGTCTTTGGATATTTTCGTTGGATTGGCACATCCTGATCATCCTGACAAGTTCGATCAAACAAATTGATCCAAACTTCTCTTCCAAGGCTGGAACCCGCTCAAGGCCACAGCTTTCGGCGTAGGTCCCGTAGGTGCAGGTGTACCTGAGCCGTGTCGCTGAGTCGAAACCCTGCATCTAAATACGGTCACTGAGAAGCCCACTCCAGAGATTATAAATGAGCAAACAAAATATTAATATAACTATTTGTTATTGTATGTTATTGTATGTTATTGTATGTTATTGTATGTTATTGTATGTTATTGTATGTTATTGTAAACTTTGACATTCTGGAAAAGGTGGAAAACGATTGTGGCACTTTCTTCTGCACTGCAGCCAGTCGAAGTTCCTGTGATCTTACCATTCCCTTTTCGGAGAGATCTTGCAGCAATGTCGCCAAAGCTGCCTGCGACACCAGCGAGATGCTTCCCTGTTCGATAGCTGACACGGCCAAACTTAAGGCCAAAACACCTGGTTCAATCTCGTTCTGCAGCATGTCCTTTTGAAGCAACCATAAGCTGACTTCCCATCGAACGGCCCGCCCACACGCCGAGATCACTGTTGTGTAAGTCACGTCATTGGGAAAAATCTCGTCATGCCGCATCTCCTCCAGCAGTAGAAGGGCTCGTTGCCACTCGCCACCAAGGGCCGTGAGGGCGGAGGTGAAGGCAACAGCATTGCCTTGCAGACCTTGTTCATGCAACATCACTTTCATCTCAGCTAACAACGCGAGCGCCCTCACCCACTGCTTGCCCTTCTCACAAGCACTCATTGCTGCACTGATGGTGATGCTATCCTCTAGTATCCGCCCCTCCCTCATGTGTGCCAGCAATGCTATGGCCCGCTGCCACTGGGCACAAACATCACATGCTGTGATGGCAGCATTGCACAAAATAGTGCCAGTGATTCGATTCCTCTCAGCTTGCTTCACCAGTTGCAAGGCCTCTGGCCATCTCCCAACCCGCCCACAAGCCCGCAGAGCTGTACCACAGGCCACCGCGTCTCCGCACAGTGCAGGTGAGTCCTCCAACAGTTGCAGTGCCATCTGCCATACAGCTGCTGTGGCAAAAACAGCCAAGGCACAGCTGCCGGAAACCAAGGAGGGGCCAGCAGACTGCAGGAAACTCAAGGCCAGCTCCCAATGTCCAGATGCTTCACAGGAATTGATGGCATTGGTATATGCCATCCCATCAGCCATGGATAAGCCTCGAAGTTGCTGCAACAGGATCAAAGCCGCTGACCACGAACCTCCCTGAGCCCAAGCACTCATTGCAGAACTTATTAGAGCAGCATCTGGTCTCCTTCCCGTGGCTTGAGCGTGTTTCCAAAGGACCAGAGCCAACTGCCAACGTTCAGCTTCCAGTAGTGCCTCCATGGCACTGCTGTAAATGATATGATTGGGAGCATCCAACTTCCACACCAAATCCAAGGCTCTCTCCCAGTCAGATGCTCTTCGGCATGCAGCAATCGCAGCACCATAGGAAACCACACTGTGAGAAATGTTCAAATTAACCATCTCAGCAAAAAGGCTGAAAGCACTTTGCCAGCTGTCGCCTTTTTCACACGCACTCATGGCAGCGTTGTAGGTGATCACATTCGGCTGGACCCGCTGTTCCCGCATCTCCTTCAAGAGGCCAATGGCTTTTTCCCATTGCTGTCCTCGTTCACAAGCTGTAATGGCCGAACTGCATGCAACTACATCCAGTCCTCCTTTCAACAAATCCAAGGTCGCTTCCCACGCGGCACTGGAGGCACAGGCCGAGACAACAGCACCCCGAAGAATGGCATCAGCAAGGCGAAAGGACTGCAGAGAGTCAAAGATGCAAATGGCAACTTCCCAGTCTTGTGCCTTTCCACAGGCTTTCGCCAACTTGGTGGCTGTTACAACATCCAACTGCCGACCAGACTTCAAGAAATCTTTGGCCTGATTGATGGCCCGGCATGATGGCTGCCCCACCATGGCGGGCCACTACTCCCTGCCATTGCTGCATCGAAACCCGGGTCCTCTAAGGACCGGTGGAACAGAATGGCTACCTGCACTCAGGGAGCCAAAATCGTGCATTGCAGATAGACAGAATCATTCTATTGATGTTAGTTTGCGCATTGAATTGACCTGGATAATTGATGTTACCTGGATAATCATTCTATTGATGTTATCATAATTGAATATCCAGGTCAATTCCTGCCAATTCAAGTTGCTCTTCATTTGTGTCTGCAGGTTTTGAGGGCCAGACTCGCACCATTCAGGTGCGGTGGTGCTGGAGAGATCTGGCCACTTAACACACGGACCTCCAGCATTAAAGGACTGTGGACGGTCATTGGACATTGGATACTGAATTGAATGTTCAGACTCTTCAGACCTGAGCCAGAGCGTTCCCAAGACTTGGCTGAGGAAGCGACACACGGTCTTGAACCAAGGGAACTGGCCACACCCAAATGCCACAATGGGTTTTGCCAAAAATGATCATTGGATGGTAGATTGTGGTTATCAAATGTTATTAATGGTGAATAATAGCAGCTCAAATTAATACCATTGTGATCGTTGTAATATCTCATAATTACTCATCTTGACTGCCCATCTGCCTATTCCCAAAACAACGACCATTCCTGTGCATGTCCTGGATTGAAATGATACGCCAGTAGCTCTCCATTTGGACCAGTCCGATGACGTAAAGTGCACTGCTCCACCGATCATCTGAAGAGTAACAACAAATTCTAAGTATCATAGTAACTCATAGTAGTAATATGTCGAAATATGTAGTAATTAGAGTTGCTATAGCACTTTATAGCACCATCAATTCCCATGAATCCCCATGAATCCATTCATTTACCAATGATCCACCCATGACCGTAGAATCACAGGCAGGCAGACTGGTAGGCAGTTCCCACACCTGGTACACCTGGGACCAGGCTGGGATGTTTCTCTGAAAATACACCCACTGGTGTACCCCTAAACCCAATGGTGAATGATCATTATCCCGTTATCCCCATTTTTTTTGCCAAAACCTATAGCATGGACATTGCCACAGGTCGTGGGCACTAACCCGCTTCCTACCTACTATCAAGAACCTAGGGCCTCGCTCACTGCTTGGTGGTGTATTATTGAAATGAAATCTTTCCATGTAGCAAACACTTCACATTGAGCAAAAATTTCACACTGAGTGAAGGTGTCACACTGAGCAAAAGTTTCACACTGAGTGAAGGTGTCACACGTTATCCCCATTGAATGAATTAAATGTCTATAATTCGGGGTATATCCTATTTTCAGACAAACCCATATGTAGATATATGTAGTGTAGTGCAACCATTGGGATAGAAAATCAATACTTTTGGCAGCTATGTCTGAATTTTATCAGGTGTTTTCATGCAAATTCATGGATGTTCAATGATTTCAATATGTTTCCACACCACATCAAAATGTCAAAATGGGTTTGTCTAAAAATCAAGCACCCCCCAAAAGGTTCATAATGATTTTTCTTAAAATGTTATTTTGAACTATATAATTATTTTGAAGGATAGAAAATCGTGTGTTTCATTTTTTTTTCCCTACCAAATCCCTAGTTTGATCTATTTAAGGGATAGGATAAACGGGTGTTGCACCGCATTTTCAGACTTCAAATGAGAGGCCAACCCCTCTACCCACTGGAACGCATCTGCGCCTCCACCACAGGACACCGACCTCTGCGCTGACGCAGGAGGTGCTGAAGCTCGGCCTGGGTGCTGTGGATCGTTCAGTTTGTCACCACCAAGATCGTTCGACCCGGACGTGGGGCATCTGCATCTGCATCATCATCATCGTCATCATCATCATCACCATCACCATCATCGTCGTCGTCATCATCGTCATCTTCATCGTCATCGCCATCGCCATCGTCATCGTCATCGTCATCATCACCATCATCACCATCATCATCATCATCATCACCATCACCATCATCGTCGTCGTCGTCATCATCGTCATCTTCATCGTCATCGCCATCGTCATCGTCATCGTCATCGTCATCATCACCATCATCATCATCGTCATCATCATCATCATCACCATCACCATCATCGTCGTCGTCATCATCGTCATCGTCATCGTCATCGCCATCGCCATCGTCATCGTCATCGTCATCATCATCATCATCATCACCATCACCATCATCGCCGTCGTCGTCATCATCGTCATCGTCATCGTCATCGCCATCGCCATCGTCATCGTCATCGTCATCATCACCATCATCATCATCATCGTCATCATCATCATCACCATCACCATCATCGTCGTCGTCATCATCGTCATCGTCATCGTCATCGCCATCGCCATCGTCATCGTCATCGTCATCATCACCATCATCATCATCGTCATCATCATCATCACCATCACCATCATCGTCGTCGTCGTCATCATCATCGTCATCGTCATCGTCATCGCCATCGCCGTCGTCATCGTCATCATCATCATCATCATCATCATCATCACCATCACCATCATCGTCGTCGTCGTCATCATCGTCATCGTCATCGTCATCGCCATCGCCATCGTCATCGTCATCGTCATCATCACCACCATCATCATCATCATCGTCATCGTCATCATCATCATCATCACCATCACCATCATCGTCGTCGTCGTCATCATCGTCATCGTCATCGTCATCGCCATCGCCGTCGTCATCGTCATCATCATCATCATCATCACCATCATCGTCGTCGTCGTCATCATCGTCATCGTCATCGTCATCATCCTCATCCTCATCCTCATCATCATCATCATCATGTGTCACGGTGACTGTCATCTCGTCATCTACTGTCGTCTGAAACTGAGTGCTTCACTAGCCCTCATCGTTTCAGCAGCCTCACAGCCACAAGTTATTCTATTCCTCAAGATCTACAAATCATGGCACTCAACTATGGCTAGCGAAACACTCAATGTGCATGTCAAAACGATGTTCTGTTGAGGATGTCACCTGCACAAGTAATTTGAAAAACACTCAATGTCACTTGCAAGAGCTGCAAGCACGCCTGTGGAGTTGTTTTCTCCGTCCCATCACTCTCGCTTGGGGCTGGAGGACAAACCTTGCACGTGTGAAATCCTTGAATGGGTCATTAAATAAATCCATATTGAAGGATTGATGAGCATGCCACAGTATGGGGTATATAATCCAACTTTGACAATGGCAAATATGGGTATGGGTCGAACTTTGCGTACAATTTTGGGCCGTTTCTGGTATCAAAAACCATCCATTTTGTCCGGTTGATCATTTTGACCCACACCCATAGAACCGATAAGGAAACTCAGCAAGCACAATCTCATGCTACCTTTTTGAGCAGTAGACTCTCACAGACTTCGAGCTCTTTGGACCTTGATCATCAGCTCCTGGATCAACCGTGACCGCAGCTGGGTTGTGTGTGGAGCTACTCAAAAAAGACTCCTGTCCTTTAGCTTCCTTTGATTCTGGTTTTTCAGGCTCGGGGATAAATGAAGGAGGGCCTTCAGCACTCAACAGCTGTGCAAACAAATGCTTCTATTTGCGTTGGTTTCATCAATGAAAAAATGGTTGAAGTGCATCCCAAAGGGCTTATGCAATCTCATGCTAAGGGTGCAACTGAAGACCCGTCGCAAGCGTTGATTTGCACCAGACTGAGCCTTCGAACGCAAACCAGTGCTGTCAAAAGGTTGTCTGCAGCTGGCTAAGCATTGACAACCCACTACACTTCAAATGGCTACTTCCAACCACTTTCATCAGCCCCTTTGAGGTCCTTTATGATAGGTTTCCCAACCAGATTGCAAATGCTGCAGCCAAACACTACTTCTCAGGAAAACTAGCGCATGCTTGGCACCAAAATGTGTCCAAATCGGATGTCCAACAGATCAGCCATGAAATCGTTAGGATGGCAACGCGGGCACAGGTATTCATTGCTGAGAGTCTGACATTCTGCCAGGCAATCCGAGGTCCATCAGGCGGCAGACTCTCCGCAGAATTCCTGGGCACTGCGTAGTGCCATATTCAGTCTCAAGGTTCTTCCATGATGCTGCCGTTGTCGGTTCAACGAACCATGTCATAGGCTAGGGCATGTCCAAGTTTAAACACGTCCTATTTTCGGAGGCTTGAAATGATTGGACAGAAGGGGAAGGACGCTGATGGTTCGCAAGTAGTCTCAACCTCTGGGCGCGAGGCTCTACGCCCTCCTGGCAGCACAACTGGACCGACTCACAGCAGTTCCACGCAGCCCGTGCAGCTCATGCAGTTCCTTCTTGTCTTCCACGTCGCTAGCTGTGAAGCCGCGCGCTCCAACGTGTGCCTGGCGAAGTCTCCAAGTTGCGGCATGGCAGCTCATGTTTCTGTAGAGGTGAGTGGGTTGCGATGGATCACCACCACCACCACCATCACCATCACCATCACCATCATCGTCGTCATCATCATCATCATCGTCATCTTCATCATCATCATCATCATCATCGTCATCGTCATCGCCATCGTCATTGTCATCCTCCTCCTCCTCATCATCATCATCATCGTCATCATCATCATCATCGTCGTCATCCTCATCGTCATCGTCATCGTCATCATCGTCATCATCATCATCATCATTATCATCATCATGATCATCATCATCATCGTCATCGTCATCGTCATCATCATCATCATCATCTTCTTCTTCATCTTCATCATCATCATCATCCTCATCATCATCCTCATAATCATCCTCATAATCATCCTCATCGTCATCGTCATCCTCATCATCATCCTCATAATCATCCTCATAATCATCCTCATCGTCATCGTCATCGTCATCGTCATCATCATCATCATCCTCCTCATCATCATCCTCATCATCATCATCATTGCCATTTTTGCCATGATTGCCATGATCATGTTTCTTGAGCCTGTTCAAGTCATATTATGTGATTACCGATGCATGTGCTTATGTATGTTGTTGTTGTTAATTACTATGTCTTGTTTATTATCATTATCACTATCTTTATTTCTTAGTGTTATCATTATGATTATATGTACTAGTAGGTGTTCTTATGGTCTCCTTGTCCTTGCTTCATGCATCTGTCGGTCTCATCCATGTCCACCTGAGCCAGGAAGTCGATGAGGGCACGCACCTGTGACAAGCGAAGGTGCGACTTGTCAGACAAGAAACGGTGATTTTGGCCAATTGGGGAACTAACCCCGAACTGCAAACAAAGTCCACACTTTTTTGATGCTGTTCCGACAGGACATGGCCAACCAGAGATGCTGCTTCAAACTCCAAACTTACGTCAATTCACAATACATGGGTTTGACTGAAAATTGGAACCCCCAAATCTGCCAGACTTTCTTATTGTCCACTAAATTGTCATTCTATGTCAATTTATGATATTTTAGGGTAATTATCCAATTTTCAGTCACATCTCATTGACCTTCCACCCAGCTACTTTGCTGCCTGCTCCCTCAGCTGAACAAGGCCCTCTGATAGCTCTGCTTCTTTGGCGAGCCCCTGGCAGGAGCCGCCAGGGAAGCTGAACTGATTCAAAGCACTGGCACTGGAGGTACAACACTCAACACAGCAGCCTCCTGCTTGGACACCTGAGCGGGACGCGGTTCTGTTTCATTGCCCGGAGCAACAAAGTGAAATGATGGGCAACAACGATGCTTCAAAGACATCTGGGCAGAGAAAGTCTATATACGATCATCTCAGCATCACTCTGAAGGAATTCTTTGCATTGTGCAGCAGGCTTTTGATCTATCTCCCGCGCATTCGCAGAAATTTCAAGGCCACTCCAGATAGAGCTTTGTATCCGGAGGTCAAAGTAGATAATCGTCTTGCTTGAAGGCCTCCCCCAAAACAAGAATTATGCGGCAAAACATAGCAAGACATGAATGGGCTGAAAAAGATGAGTAAACCATCCATGATCCATCCATGATCTAGGTGCAAACCTGGCTTCTTCCACCCAAAAACATGACATTCAGTATGCAGTCTGGATCATGAAAATAGTGAATTAGCGATCCTTTCAGCTTCAAAGCCTGGAAAGAAAGAAATGCCAAGCAGCTAACTGCAAGACTTGTCCCAATCATCGCCCCATCGGACAGCTATCCCAGGTGTCGCCTAACCAAGGTGGGCGAGTCTTTGGCACCACTCGATTGCAGGCTGCTTCGATGCAGCTGGCCAGTGAACCAAAGCGCACGCGGCGCTTCACCAAGCCTTTGTCGCCCAGAATCCGTTTCCGGTCGAGACACTTTGGATTGGCAAAGCCTGCCTACCTATCTAATCAGCAAAAGTTCTGCAGACATAGAAACGGATGCCAATTAGATATATACCGCACATATTTTTTCTAATCATATCTCATTTAATTTATAAGAATAGCAATAATAATGATAATGATAATGATAATATTATATATATATATTGATAATGATAATAATGACAATAACAACACTAGTATATTATACGATATTATATACAGTTACATATATCATATATCATATTCATTGTTTATACTGACTGTCCCTAGCCGTGACTCAGGCCTGGCGCATAGTGCGCATACTTGGCCGAATTCGTCATCAGCGTCCGGCTCTCCGGTGGCAACACCGAGGTGGGAGCTGGAACCACCTGCAGCTGGTGGGTCCAGGTATGGGGTTCCTTTTTAGCGCAGGGAAATGCAGCTTCTTCTTTTGTTGCCACAACTTCTATATAATAATCTAGAATAGTTATTGTCATTGTACATAGATATACATTATAATAAATTGATATACATATATAATATTTCTATATGTCCAAGAAAACGACAGAACTTCCCACCTCTCCAAGCATGCACCAGCAGGTATCGCTCACCAGCTGTGCACCGAAGGCTTCAAGCTGCTCCCCGAAGCCCAAACTTCGGCTCTCTGCCAACACCTGGGGCTGGAAGCATCCCATAAGGTCCATGAGGAACCCTGGCTCCAAACACGGCTAGGTCAAGCACCTGGGGTCCGGAAGTGACCACCACTGTGACGTCTGGATGTTTTAGACGACCCTGGCAAAGTTCAGCCATTCGGCCATGCTCCTCCACGGAAAAGTGCGGATTTCCCAAGGCAACCAGATCCTTAGCAGACGCCCATGGCACTGTTCAAAGATTTCAAAGGAGGCTCATGGCAGCTTGAGAAGTCTGTCCAAGGAGTGTTGCATGTTGCGAGGCATCTACTCAATTTGCGGATGGAAGAACTTGGCCAATTTCCACGATCGCAAGTTCATGTTGCAACAAGGACACATACACACAAAACTGTGCATCTCAGAGAATCTCTGCTTCAAAAGATACTGGTACATGAGTGATCTGAAATTCCTCAACATGACTCTGTCCTTTAACCACACACCCAACAAGGCAAGACTCAACAGCATCGCAGGAGCTATCGGCATCCTCATTGCGCAAAATCGCGCAGTCGTCAACGACTGGGTGTTGCTGCGAGAGATACTGTCCGAAAACACGACCATCAAACAATTGCGAAGTTCCATAAATCGCCATAAAATCGCAGTGCCAGTCACCATGGCACCATGGGCTGCAGGTGAGACACCAAATCCTGCCACACCGTCATCAAATCCTCCTGGGTCAGATCAATCACCTGATCAGCAACAGCTGCGGGCGTGGGCCAACTTCAATACCACTGAGAAAAGCTAAGAGTCTACCTGAGTAAGTGTTCACCAACCCATATAGTCTATAGTCTATAGGGGTTTGTTTGTTTTTATCCCCGTACCAATATGGTTGGGTTGTTTGTTCCGCACAGCCCTCTCTGATTTCTGCTGGCCTCTGCGTCTTTGTCATGCAAAACACTTTGCAGATCTGGAGCCTCCCACAGGAACCATGGCCAGTGGTTGGCTCAGCTTGGGTGGTGATGAAATTAGGCCGACAGTGACCGGGTTCGTTGGTTAGATTGTTGCCATCGACACGTTATCATCCTCTTTCCTTCTGTGTACTGTAAATATCTGTAAATGCATGTAAATGCTACATTTGGCAGAAGACATGTATTGTGGCTCACAATGGCAAAATCTGTACGATCATGATGATGTCGATGATGACGATGATGGCGATGATGACGATGATGACAATGATGACGATGACGATGACGATGACGATGACGATGACGATGATGATGATGATGAGGAGGAGGAGGGAGAGGGAGAGAGGGAGAGGGAGAGGGGAGAGTGGAGAGGGAGCGGAGGGGGAAGAGGGAGAGAGGAGAGAGAGGGAGAGGGAGAGGGAGAGGGAGAGGGAGAGGAGGACGACGGCGACGATGACAACGATGACGATGACGATGACGATGCCGACGACGGCAAAGACGAAGATGAAGACGAAGACGATGACGAACACAATACGAGACAGAGACCAAGACGGAGACGGAGACGGTGATGATAACACAGGTGATTGGATGCCAGGATGATGATGGCGATGAAAGGGGTGATCCAGCTAATGACAAGTCTGAAGATAAGGATGCTGATGATAGTCAACATAATGGCAATGATATGGATGATTGCCGACCGGGATGTTAATGGAGGCATGTTGACACTAAAAGCTAGAAACCTATTGCCCCTATTGCGCAAACCAACAATATTTCGTATCACATTCCAAAGCCGCACAGAATGCCAGAAGGATTATCATTCGACTGGTTGAATCGGTCTTGCCAACTTTTAAGTTCTGAAGTGTCGGAGCTTTGGAAAACTCGTGGAATCCCAATGCCAGCCAGATCCAATCGGTCCTCGGGTGTGAGGCCCACGATATGGAACATGGGAGCAGAGGAGCTAGTTCCAAAAGCTGCACTGAATGCCTGCAGCTCTGAATCAGCGACCCATAGGATTTCTTATGTTTTCTTCAAGCATGTTCAATCCAAGCCTCTAAGCCTCTAAGCAGTGGGAATTCCAACCTGCTTGGTTCCGACCCAGTGAGTTGCCTGGAAAAAATTGGGATCATCCAAATAATTCCAAATAATATTCTATAACTAACATTAACTAATTATAATTCACAAAATATGTGATTCTACCAAATTTTACCAATTGGCAACATGGTTTGGAAGGCTGCCTCCTTGGTCAACGTCCTCGCAAACTTCATCTTCAAAAGCTGGCCTACAAGTAGTATATCAACCTCCTTTTGCTTCAGCTAGACCCTGCAAACAAATGCAAATAGAATCAATAGTGTTGACATCTAGAGTGAAAGAAACATCGACAAATAATGCCACGGATTCTGCAAGGTCTCTACCAAATTCGCCCATTCGCAAGGACATCAGGAAACAAATTGGTTCCACTTCTTCCAAAAGCGAGCAACAGCAGATGGGTGCCTTCAGATCGTCTCTTGTTGGATGGAGATTGTCCAGCCCCAGAATCGCAGGGATTAAGCGTGGTGCTTTGAGACCGCACAAGTACCCAAGGGTTGGGTAGAACGCATCATCCACGCAACCTAAGCCTAAGCCCAAGATGCCGCCATCAAACCCTCCTGTGAATTTGGAAAACAACTCTGACATTCCTAAAGAATCATGGCACACTTATGACCCAAAACCATCCAAAACCCCCTTGAAGCACTGCGAAAACTGCAGGCTGCTGCCGAGCTGCTGGCATCAATTTTCACCTGCAGCACGACTTGCGCTGCTCGTTCCAAGTGACAGCCTGCCAATGGTGCTCTTCCGGTGATAGCCACACAGGCATCGAGGAAGTCGGCATACTTCTGAGTACCTCAGATGACATATAGTATAATTATATAGTTGTACTATGTTATACTATGTTATACTATGTTATATTACAAATATATATATATATAATATGATATGTATACTTTCATACACTTTCGTCACCCAAGACCTGGATCTTGCCAATTTCTAATCCCGTCCCTGGAGATTGATGATACCATAGGTATCATGGCTCATGGCTCTCAGTCTTCAAACATCTTCAAACAGGAAACCCCAAACAGCCCAAACAATATTGGAGGTTTCCATACAAGGTGGTACCCCCAAATGGGTGGTTTACAATGGAAAATCCTATGAAAATGGATGATTACTTTCATATGACCACGAGCATCACAGGAAAATCCATGCCCAAAGACGAGCTCCGAGCACACTGTTGGCAAAGACCACTGCATTGGACTCGCCCCAGCCGATGTGGTCCCCTTTTTTTGGCGCAGAGTCCAGCAAATATGGAGCGCAAGTGAAGCTTCCTCGGGCGCCAATTTCCAGATAGGCCTGAGACGGGTCGAACATACGAACATCAAATATAAAACTATGGTCAAATATGTATATGCTTCCAATTCATTCCATGAATCACAATGAAACTATGAGTGTAACTAGTCTTTGGAGTCATACCTCCAGATTGATCCACCACAGACTTGCAAACAGGATGCGCAGATCTGAGCCCAGCCTCTGCCAATGATGCTGCAGGCCCACCCAGCTCTTCAGGAAATTCGCTTTTACGCGCCAAGTCAACCGATATGGCATTCAGTGTAGTGGGCACCTGGACTTTGGCGTCCCACTCCAACAGTTTCTGAGCGAACTTCAAACTTGCAGGACCGATGTATGTGCATCCGTCAATGTGGGCCTGTGCAAGATCCGGCACCCAGCCACTTCTTCAAACAGCATCGTAGAATGAAACTGCCGATTGCCGAAGCAACCCCCACATCCAACAAGAATTGCAACCCAACACAACCCAACATACACGGAAGATGATTGGTTCACACAGCTATTCACCAATACCCCAACGGCTTCCAGCACAAGAACCTCCTGGGTATTGTTGCTCTTTAACTTTCCACGACTGTATTGGCCTCTTTTCATCCAACATCCCAACCATAGTCAACCCTCAAAACCCTGACAATGAACATTCGGAGGGGTCATCAAAATTGCTACAGCACCCGAGCCCACCTCCCTATCTGTTGGTTTATCAAAATCCCGGGTGAAGCCAGACCATCCCCACCTGTTTCACGTCAATCAGAGCAGCTGCACCCTGCAGCCGCGCCATGCGCGCCACGATGGACAGCGCCTTTTGGCGCGCGATGCCCTGGGAGCCGATGAGCATCTGCTGATCAGATCTACTCAGCTGCAGTTCCTGGAGGACCAGGAAGGCAACGTGTTTTCGAGGTCTTCAATGGATGGATTTACAGTAGAGGAAACACCAGGAAACTCACTTTATATGCCTACTTTTTTAGGGATTTTGTGTAAATTTTCACTTGAACCAATTCTGGGAGGTTGGGAATGAAAAGGTACTGTGTGTGTGTGTGTGTGTGTGAATATATTGATAGGATTGGATTGGATTTTTATAGGAGGGGATTATATAGATAGACAGATAGAGCAAGAGATGGATACATTGCATGTGCACATTGTATACGTGTAAATTATACACCTTCATACTTATATACACGGCATGTGTATTTATACATCTATACATATACTTGATGTGCATTGTATTATTTACAATTAGATCTATAAATAAAACGTATATATATAATATTATAATATCATTTAATAAATACATACACCTATACATAAAGGTATCATACTGAGAACGGGCGCCGTTTGAATTGCGCATGTTTGATTCTAACGCCATACGATGTAGGATCACATGGAGTCGGAAAACGTGTTAATGTGATATGTTTGCAAGCAGCATGAAACCAAGTACACATATTTCTGGTATTCCGCTGACATGATCTGAAATGTATGTTCAGACTTCAAAGCACAAAGTTGTTTCCCACTGGTTTTTCACTGCTTCCGCACCTCCTCTTCATTGGCAGCACTGGAGGCTCCTCCTTGGCCTTCTCGAGACAAAACACTGCCCTCGATGGTTGCTGTTCTCCAAGTGGATATGGCTTTAAAAGCAGATTCCTGCCGGAATCAAATGGGCAAGTCAAAACCATGGTACAAGAACACCAACAGAGCTGGTGAGTGGATGTTGAAAGCATCACAGGGCCCTACAGCTTTTCATCGTGGAACGCACATTGAATTCTTTCTGCTCACTCAAAAACACCGGATTGATATGTGTCGACATATTCACCACGACCATTCAAACAAAGGAATGCATGGGTTGTACGCAGAAGAATAATCATACCAATAACTATAATATACTATAACCATACAAATAATTGCCTGTGATCGATTGCGATTGCATGTGCATATCTACATACGATGATTGCACTTTTTGTAGATGCGCCTCTAAACACAGCACTGGCAACTTCTTGTTGAAGAGTTCCTCTGCAACAATTGCCCCCAGTGCGATGATCTCATCGGTGTGGCACAAGACAATTGCAGCAGGCGCATTTCCGTTCAGCAAGAGTTCCAAGATCACTTGACTTCCAGTGCATGAGCCTGCTCGACGCAAAAAGTTGAGTCGTAGACCATGGGAAAGCAAAGTGAAATGACAAGGAGAACTGCATAAGAGAAACGTATAAACAGTTCAAAATCATCCTTGTCATTACTTATGTATGATATGTGCCATGCAAAAGCATATTATGTATCTGGCGCCTCTCTTGGTTTCAGATTGACCGCACTTTGAAAGGTAGGCCAAACGGTGACTCTTACTGCAAGCTGAAGGACTCTGCGAACTAATCAAGCTCTCCACGCTCCTACAAGCATGCTCCTGAGATGTTCAATCATGACAGCCCTGACAACATCTGACACCACTGGTGACCAATTGCACATGAGTTGAAACAAGCGGGCCTCGTCCTGCTGGAATGGCTAGGATCTTTCCATGGAGGCTGAGTCCAGAAAGTGGGTGATGCCTATCCACAATGATGCCGCTCTTGGGCGAAACTCCACCCCAAAAGCTGAGCCCTGTTTCGGAGTAGAGCACCTCCACTGCGACGGTTGAAATGGACGGTGTTCTGTCCATGGATGCATGGATTCAGTGGGTGTGGTTCCAAAATGGGATGTCGATGGACTCACAAGAGTGATCTTTGTGCCCAAATCATGACCCCAATCCACAAGTCCAGTAAGCCTCCCCAGAGGCACAGCCGCTTACCACAGCGCGACCATGCAGCAAATCCATGGCTCAACAAGTCATTGCACCAAAATTATTGTCCTGCATTGATCTTGCAAACCTGCATATCTCGTCAAAACCAACTCCGCTGAAGAACACGGACCATTCCATACAAAAAATTAAATGTCTGTCGCATCTGAACCTCTTCGCATCAGTTTTTTCAGCATTGTTTATATTTTTGCTGGTCACTAAACCAGAAAACTCAAACAATCAACAACTATTGCGTAAGAACTTGTGTCTCTTCCTTTTGGTGAGTTGAGGGAGGTGGAATGAATCTGCTGCACAAATGAGCACATCAGGTTTACAAGGACAATGGCTTCAGGATTCTTCCAAGAATCACCGAAGCTCGCAATACCATGAAGCACACGCAAGAAATCCTGCACCGAGGCGGCTTGGCCTTGTCCACAACATGCCGCATTTCGTGGATTTCCAACTCCTGAGCCTCACAAATTGGTTTCCGAAGCCCACATGGCCCGCCAAACTAATGTGGTAGAATTTGGCCACTGCCAATGGATCTACTGGCAGTCCTCAATCATCTTCGCTGATGTGGAATCCACATCAGATTCTGAATTTGCGTGAATTTTCGGCTCACACCTCTCACCTTCTAGCCACTAGCTGTGACTGCACGGAGAATGTCGGCCAATTCTACGCTCGCAGGCCTGCTGGCACCCTTCGGTGTGCATCAAACGCCTGTGAAACAGGACCACATCCAATCACCACTGAAGTTGACTGACGGCTGAATATATTTCATCAAACCAAAACACCAGGAAAGTGTGTTTTATATAAGTGGTGGTTAAAAAATATATATCAGCAACGCAAGTAATTTTTATATATTTCCATCAGTGCTGATTGGTAAGAATTTTGAACCAATTCTCGCAGTCTGGCAGTTCGACTCTTCAGACCAACTCCACAAAACAAATGGGTTTGTCTGAAAATAGGGTATATTCCCAATTATAGCCATTTAATAGGGATAATGATCATTAACCATTGGGTTTAGGGGTACACTATTTTCAGACACACCCAAATAAGGAATGGATTCAAGATCACAGGAGTCACAGGAGCCAGCCTTTCCACCGCTTGGATGCGCCGTGAAAAACTGTCGAGGACCCTGGCAGCTGGGCAAGTGGTGGTCGAATTCCGCAGCTTGACTAGCGGCTTGACGCCCAAATGCAAAAGCCTTGCCTAGGTCTTGTGCGTCAAAACAACAAAGCACTTGGAAACAACGCAGAATTCGCCTCCCGAAGCGACTCAATTCTTCTTGGACGCCAGGTGCTGGCTCGGAGTCGACCAGGTCCATGGGTCCCATAGCTCAAGTCGGGAGGGCTGAGAAAAAACAATTGAGAGGTGATGAACATGTCTGTTGTCCACACATGATGTCGGAAGACAGAAGGCGGTGTTTGTTGCTGCGGGTTGTTGGTTTCAAGCCTTTTGGCTGGGTTGGGCCTCCATGCATCGTGCAGCCACTGACACATGGATGAAAGCGCTGATAAAAAGAAGGAGCACCGGAGCACCAAGTCAAGCGATTCTCCAACAGTTGTTTCTTCAAACAGCAGCCAACCTCTTCCATGATCTTTGGCATTCAGTCCAAACAGCTCACAATATGTTCATTGTATTTTGCTGCGGCGCTGCAAATCAATCGATGGGTACTATGTACACTATATCTACAGGCTCACTAGAGCAGGTTTGGGGAGTTGCACCGCTCACCCAATCCTGTTCATGTGATACCAATCGGCTTGGTCGCGCCGATTGTGGTGCGCCTGCGGCAAGACAAAATACTGGCCATACTGGTTCTCCAATCTAACCCTCACTTGCGGACACGACTTCCCCTCATCACTTGCGCACATCCCTGCACCCGTAACATTGATTCATGCTCCTATTTGATCGACAATATTTATTTGGTACATGCAAGAAATGAATAAGACTAGGGGGGCATTCCAAAACGAGGTAGGGATTCTTGACACACTATCCGAACAGGCGACGGCGTCATAGAGTTGGAAAAACAAGGTCAGCTTGGAATATTACATAGTGACTATTACAACTGAAGGCCTAACCCGGTCCCTGGCCTTTGTTGGCCATCGAAATGTACACATCTCCACTTGAGGGATCACCTTGGCCACAACCTCGGGCTGAGATGCAGTCATGGCATGGCAGGCGGCCATGAGATCATGCTTGACGCTCCACTTCTCCTGCAGCACAGGCACAACTGGGGCCAAGTTATAAATATGTTTTGATAATTACATGTATATATATTATATAGAAACATATAGAAACTATGAAATGGATGCTGTATCACTACTGTGTCAGTATAGTTTCAATGTGTTATCAACGTTCTGTTGGGAAAAAACATCGGACTCGAGAGGTGTCCGTTTCAATAATTATGGCATGTGTTTGCTCTTGAAGAAACACGTGGGAGCCCGACAGCCGCATTCAGAGTCATACCAGCACACAACCTTCACGATATTTCACGGAGATGGGATCCATTATGAGCTAGAGAAGATAAAACCCAGTTCATAGTATCCCCTCCCCTATACCCATCACACATTGTCATCACAGCATATAGTCACATAAAAAGACCATAGATTTTTCACCCAATATCTATTCATCATCATAATATGTTCATCATTTTTTTCATCATAATATGTTCATCATATTAATCATATTTGTCATCATAAATCTACCATAAATCTAGTGAATAAAATAGTGATAGTTTCTTCTGAAATGATAAAGTCTGACGGTTTTCCAGATTTTTGCAGTGCTTCTATTCTAACCTCATCATCCTTAAGATATCCTTTCACCTCTGGTTGTTTTCTTTCTTCATCATTTGTTTCATTGATGATATGTGTTGGTGTCTTTCAATGTTTTGACACTCTCTACAGTGAGTTTCACTTTGCAAAAGAAAATATCACAGGAAACGTCTTTTTGACGATATACTATTTGATACACTTGGTGTCTTTCACAGCATTCGTTGCATGGCCTATTATTTTCATTTAACTCTGTGTATGTTTTCTTTTTTACATTGAGTGCATTGTCTATCCTCCATACTATCTAAAAGCAATTTGTCTTTAAGGCCAAATCACAAACTTTTATAACAAGATATTAGTATTAAAGTTTAGCGGCTGCTTCTAATCTTGTGTTCCAACCACCCTTTCATTTCCTTCAAAAATTGCTCATTGGATACACATTTGGGTATTCCAACCGTTGGAACTGAACATAAAATCAATTTGCACTCGTGTGGCATTCCAATGAGACTATACTCATAAATCTGTATGTTTGACTGCAGTCACTGCATTTACGGTTGTACGCATTATCAGTATAGTATAGTTTGGAAATTGCGCTGTTAGACCCTGGTTCATCGGAAACCTGTTGAATTGCAACAAATACCAAGTATTGCGTTGTTCGATGCATTCCCATCTTGGTGGTGCCATTTGAGAGTTCAACTTTTCTACAATGTCAATATTCATCTTAATACAATTATAATGTAATATGTGTTTAAGTGGTGTTCCTATAAATAGTTATAAATGGCAATTTGCAGTATTCAAACATAAATCCAATAATGGTGTGATTAGGTTTATAGGGTAAATTTACTCAAAAATTATAGTAATAGAATTTTCCATTGGTGCTTGGACTTCTTCAGGGTTATAGCATAGTCCTTGATAATAGTCCTTGCCATCTCTGTCTATAAGAAAAAATACGGTTCATGTCCATCATATGTCTGTCAAATTCTTGCAATGTCATTATACCTGTTCCTCTTGTTGTTTCCCATTTGTTGTATCTTCTCAATGTCTGGGGTTTGTATGACACATAGTTTTACCACGTTTCTGGAAATACATGTTTATTCTACATCATAATTGACCAAATGTGCTCATAGACTCATAGACGGTACATCATGTTCCTTCATCTCATGGAACGTTAACACGTAAAACCTTGCACACATTGCAAACTACTAATGTCAGAAGACTTGAATGACGACTTTCTTGTTCCTTCTTCGAGATATGTAATGGCAAAGGTAATTTCCTTTTTCTTTCTCCGTGTTCTTCTTAAGTTGGTTTAACAAGGTCCAATGGTTACTTCCAGTGGTTATTTGGATAGTGGTAGTGCCAGAGAAAGCCAGGACAGCCCCTTTTACAATAGTTTTAACCTGATAATACCGTTCAAAAAACACGTAATTTTCAGCTATTTTCCTATTGGGAAAAAGGCATGTTAGCACAAGCTTTTGCTCCCAAACCGGCATATCCTTGGATATATCTTATTTTCTGATCGCTCTATTGCAACTGCAGGCTATGACTATTTAGGCTAATCATATTGTTTCATCAGAACATTCATTCACAAATTTTGCTAGCATGATAGCCGCCAATATAGATTCTATAATTTACCATTTTGCAGAGTAACTCCCTAATGATAGCTATATGCAATTCTAACAGTATGATGACGTGTAATGTCCATATATGAGCTTTGCCTGCATTGCTTGTATTTGACACTATTTCCAAGCTCTCTGTTTGCTTGCAATGTTGGTTTGTGAGAGAGGAGAGACATATACAAGTTAATACCACTTTCAATTTGCCAAGGTGACTCCTATTGATAAGAATAGCACGCATACAAGGAATTCTTCCAGTGGTTCCTATCGTAAACTCCAAGTTTATGGAATGATCATGCTATATGTTGGATTGGAGCTGATCTCTGCTACGTGCATGTGGGATTGACTTTACCTTGTTGTTGTTCTATGATGAGTAAAAAAAATAAGCTTACATAGTTCATGTGCGTTATTCTCTGTGCATCACATAGGCTGGAACACTTTATATGTGAGAAGAGTCACTTGTTGCATGCCCCTCTATGGCTACTGTTCACTTGTGATATCATACCACTTGATTACAGAACGTGGTAGAGTCATTGAGATCTACCCTCCCATATTTTGTTCTTTTCATTCGAACTTTTTAATGATCATTCTTTCAAAAATCACGTTGGTTTCTACTGGGTAGTGATAGGTTGAGACCCAAGCAGTCTTGTGAGGTGCTTTTGACTTTGAACTCTTAATACATCCTTTGCAAGTGCAATTGCTTGCATTTCCCATGATGTTGTAAAGTCCAAACTTCAGGTGCGCAAAAAAAACAATCTAATCAATACAGCTAAACAACTGCATTTACAATTATCTATTCTGATGTCACAAGGGGATCTGCCTTAGCAAAGAGATTCAGTTTTGCTATCATACTAAGCATTAGGTATTGTGAACACATAGACACAGACATCTATATGTACAGATATTGAGCTCGCTCCTTGCCATTGGTCTACTTCCAAGCGGCTTTGCAAAAACCATTGGGAGAACAATTGACAATAAAGGATTTGGACCCTATCTCCACTCCTACTGTACTATTTGACAAACACTTTACTGAACTAGACCAAACAAGAATCAAATAATGTATCCAATAGGAATGTAGCAGAAACACAAAAACGAACTTCAAAAAACAAAATCATATATAGTTACTATGCATGTAAACAACATAAACCATGTTAAAAAAAAACAGTTAAATTACGTGGAAAACCTGTGCCCTCATTTCCAACCACTCTCTTTGGAAAAAGGCAAGCCTCCCCAACGTTTCCCATTGTGGCCGGGTGGCCATACTAGCCTCCCCAAGGAAAATCGACTTTAAATGAAAGGACAATTACCAGCGAAGAGGTCCAAAATGTAGCCGAAGGCAAGTGTTCAGCCTTGATGTTTGGCGCACTGTCCCGAACACGTGTCTTAGAGCAATTTTTGCATTGTGCGTCGTGTGATCCAAGGGGCTGCTACCCTCAAGGAAACACAACAAACAAAAAAGGACACATGTACATGTTGATATCTTTATGATGCTTTCTCACTCTGTCTCATTGTGTTTAATGTCTTATCATTTTATCAAGGTTTCTCACTGTTTCTCATTTTGCCTTGAAGTGACCAAACCTGTCTCGTCTTTTCTAATCATTTCTATATGATGTCTTCTCGTTTGCAAGCTAAAGCAAATATCAATGTGATCCAACCCCAAACTTTTCATATGTCTGATTGTTTCTCATTGGTTCTCCTTGTTTTTCATTTTGCCCCACATCTTCTCATGTTTTCTCAAAAAAGACCTATCTATTCTAAGTGTTCTCATGTTTGTCAAGCGTCGCAATTGTTTGCTAATCCTGGCATTTTGTTGCTGAAAAGTGGCTTCCACGTTGCAATTTTGCACGCAATATTACAAATACAGGTCGTACCTAGTGAACCAAAAAGTCCATAAACAACTGAGAACAAATCCAACAAGTTGCAAAAGCCAGTTGTGTTTGATTTTCTGAGTTGATCTTTTTGGATCGACCAATTCTTGGGTCGAAAGTGCATGTCTTGTGGCGTATAAAGGCATTCGTTTTCCGGTGCCCAAAACATATTACATGGGATATCGGGGCCTCATTGGGCCCTCCAAAATTGTCTGTGTCGCATCTTTTGGATGGATTTTTTCACTTCTTTATGTGTAAAAACTATATATTCGTGTTCCACCAGCATCTCAGAAAGTTAGGTCCTAGTGGATATTCCGACCTTAGTTTTGCCTTGCATTGCTGGATGGAAATGTGTTCTTGTGTAAAGCTATTCGTTGCCCACTTGGACCCAAGAAATCTGAGTTTCTAATCTAATGCGCATTGATACCGTATGAACCGTCCAAAACAAGGTGTGCGTTGCCTGTTTCACATCTTTTTGGATGGAGAAACTCATATAAGGAAAAGTAGGTCCTAGTGGATGTTGGACCTTGTGGACCCACCAAAAACAAAGGCTTGCCTTGAATTGATGGATGAAAAAAAAAGACTGTTTTAAAGAAGGATTGTGTTGCATTGATGGATGGAATTGTTGAGTTTTGGGTGTGCAGAGTTGTTGCATATCACAATTGTGCAGACAGCACTGTTAGTTTTGGTAGTGTTTTTGCACCAGTCATTCTGGCCTGGCATGTCACAATAAAAAGATAAATATACTATGGATTACACTTGCACTTGCACACTCATTTGATTTTACCCTGCTTGAAGTCCACTTGCATGTGCACGTGTACTTATATAATGCTATGCTACTTCAAGTTCAGGTCCCTTGAACATCCTTGCACAGTCATTGGATGCTACTCTAATTGAAGTTCACTTGCATGCCCACAATTATTTGACGCTATATTGCTTGAAGTCCCTTTTCACTTGCGCACACTTACGTAGTGCTAGGCTACGCGAAATTCATTTAATCTTGAACAGGTGCTTGCTGGTATGTTAGAGATGGGTAGGGTGCGGTTGGGTGGTGCTAATAACGTCCCACTGCGTTTGCACACTGATTTGATGCTATGCTGTTTGAAGTGCGCCGCCAGCCCGATGTTTTTTTTGTAAGCCATTGTGTGCCATTTCTTTGCCAACAAATGTCAAGAAACAGAGCTCGTAAACAATGCAGGCACCGCTATAGTTCGGATGTTGCGCCGTAAGAAACACCATTGCACGACCCTACCCCAGGTGTGGACCA